GCATATGACTATATAAGTCACTGACTATTAAAAGCAGTCTCTTGTAGTTGAGTTAAACCAGTTTATCCAGTTTTATGTAATCTTACACTCTATTTAAATAAGCTTGCAAGCCATCTGGTAACCTTCCTTTAACAAAGGCCAAATGTACATGTAGGTTGGTTTCTAGCCTTCCAAATGTTTGTTTGTAAAGCATATGAAAAACTGTTCAAAGGCACGCACATCCCTTTTAACTTAACTGGGTGCTCAGCCAAAAAACGAAAAAGGTGCAAATTAAATATCCATTAAAGGCGGCAACACCAAAGCTCCAAAAATATAAATTTATTAAATTAAAAAAGCTGACACAAAGCATGTAACGTTTCGAGCCACACGGCTCTTCATCAGACTGTCTGACTGTCTTGATTTTTGCTGGACATTATGATAGTAGGGTCAGAATTTGATGTCAACAACATGAAAGCATCCATTCTGCCCTGTATCAATGGTTCAGACTAGTGGCGGTGATGTAATGGTGTGGGGAAATTCTTGGCACACTTTGGGCACATTAGTACCAATTAAACATTGTGTCAACACCTCCAAAGTCACCAGCTCTCAATCCAATAGAGCACATTTGGGGTGTGGGGATTCGCATCTTGGATGTGTAGCCGACAAATCTGCAGCCACTGCGCGATTCTAACATGTCAATATGTACAAACATCTCTGAGGAATATTTCCAGTACCTTGTTGAATCTATGCCGGGAAGGATTAAGTCAGTTCTGAAGCCAAGAGTGTGCCCAACAAGTTACTAGTAAGGTGTGCCTAATAAAGTGACCGGTGAGAGTGGATGTTCCCTTTTCATGCTTGATTCATCCCAATAGTTCATTAGCCTTGGCTGAAAATTAGTATTTGGCCTCAATTTATTACAATTTATGACAACTTACATTTGTAGCAACTCATAATGTAATAGCTGCATGTAATCTAAAAAAAAATGGGTAACACTTTAAAATAAGGTTCATTAGTTAATGCATTTACTAACATGAACTAATCATGAACAGCACATGTACAGCATTTATTAATCATAACTGAACATTTACTAATGCATTATTAACATCTAAGTCCATGCTTGTTTACATTAGTTAATGCACCATGAGTTAACATGAACTAACAATGAACTACTGTATTTTCATTACCTAACGTTAACTAGCATGAACAAATACAGTAGTAAATGTATTGTTCAATGTTTGTTCATGTTAGTAAATGCATTAATTAACATTAACTAATGAACCTTATTGTAAAGTGTGACCAAAAAATGTACAAAACGTAATATGCCACACCTTTCTTATTTATCTTTATTCAAAAGCTTTTTCTATTTAAAGGTGAGATTCCTCATTGCAATGTTCTTTGCCGATAGTGTTTACTTCTCAGGCTGTTGCTGTTCTCTTGTATCATAAATCATGACAAGTCCTGACATGAAGCAAGAGAAAACAGCAAAGAATGATGAGCCTTCTTGTCTTTGTGTGTTTCGTGTTTTGTCTACATTGTGGGAAAAATTAAAACAATTTTTGGTTTTACGAAGGCTGACCATATAAATATAATAAATTAGCTAAATATATGATAAGTATATTTAAAATGTTAAGAGGATTGTTTGAAATAATGAGTTATAATTACTGAAAATTTCTACAGATCAAAGGTTATTTTTCAGGCTTAAACAAATATGATCGTGTGTCAAATATTAAAAGTAGGGCATTAAAAAAAGCTGTTATGATTTAAAATAAAAGCTTATGTAGTTTCATCACATACTTAATTCACTTTAATGAATTAATTTGCAGTTTAAACGATAATTTTAGGCTTTTAATGCCTTTAATACTGTGACATTTAAAGGCTTAACTAGGTGAATTAGGTTAACTATGCAGGATAGGGTAATTAGACAAGTTATTGTATAATGATGGTTTATTCTGTTAACTATCGAAAAAAATATATAGCTTGAATGGGCTAATAATTTTGACCTTAAAATAGTGTTTAAATTTTGCTTTTATCTGCTTTTATTCTAGCCGAAATAAAACAAAGAAGACTTTCTCCAGTAGAAAAATATGATCAGACATACTATGAAAATGTCCTTGCTCTTTTAAACATCATTTGGAAAATATTTAAAAAAGAAAAAAAAGTTATAATTCTGACTTCAACTGTATATTTATTTATATATAATTTGTTTGACAAATTATTGATTAACATTTCCAGACTGTCTGCATTTCTGGTTCAGACCAATACAAAACTAGCTCCTTTTTAAACTCTTTAAAGTGTTTTTAAGGAAGTGTTCTTCAGAAAGTAGATTCATAGAAAATATGTACATGTAGATTAGATGTCATGTTGTAAGTCAACCATTCGTTTCCTGTTAATTTAAAATCTGACTATCACTAGTAATGATAAAAATACTATTTCGATCTTTATCCTACAATTATAATGAATTTTGTCCACTGATTTAGCAATTATTTACAGGCTAAATGTTTGTTTTTAAAATTACTACACAAAATGAGTTCAGACTATAACTTTGTGGAAAGATATGCACAATAGTGAAAGAGGAAATGGCTTTAAGGACAAGCTCTTAAACATTCTAGAAATAGAAAACAGAAATGCAACAAAACGCATTGCAAAATAGACAACAACAAAGACAGGATATATTGAGTGTTGTTGACCACAAGCACAGCAGCCAGCCTGACTAAAGCCTCCAACTGGCGACTATACGATTGTCGAAAAACCCATTTGTTACTGCTTTTTGTTTTCATTGAAGCTATGAATTTTGATTCAACTGTAAATAACTTACAGAAAATTGTAGCCTGTGGGCCTACACTATTCTACTGCGGCCAGTATGCCTTTTTACATTGTAGCTATACATGTAGCCCTATTATATTTTATAAAGGATACTTAAAAAAATAAATGAGCCATTTGCATGTCATTTATATATTGTTTTTTATTTCCATACCTGCCAAGTATATTATAGATGTCCCAGGACAATGCCATGCAAAACATAGAGCAAATAGTCAATTCTAGAAGTGTCTAATGAGCATCAGTTAATCCAAAAAAAACAATTTTTTGGGGATAGCGGGTACAAAACGTGAGACTTAAGTAACAAATCGATTTTCTCAAAGCCCTGACAACATCTGCTTTCCAGGCTATAACAGCACATTCTGCATGCAACCCTCGATGAAACTGCTAATTATCATGTGATTTCAGATGCGTGTCCTGCAGTTAGTTCCCAATTCCAGATTTAAGTGCAGAAAGTAACTGGTCTTTTTTTCCTTACAACTTTTCATGTGTCACAGTAATGATCAATCTGCAGGTTATTTAGTGCAATAACACATTCTTAAGTTTCCAATGTCTGAGTCTTTCAGTTTAAAAGTAAATCAGGTGTAAACAGTTCCTGTGGGGAAGAATGTAACTGAATGTCCCACTGCTAATATTCATACCTTGTTTTTCACATCAACATTAGAGTTTGCAGTGACTGGATTCAATTAAAAAAATGTAACAAAATTTAAACATTTTCAATTTTCATTTTTTGAAACATTTAATGGAACTGGTCTTTAAAATGAAACTGCTGTTTATTCATTTATTTTTATTTTTTGCTAAATTAAAAGACAAAATATGTTTGCAGTTAACATTAACAAGGTAAATGTCAGACATATTTAGGACTAAGGCAGTAAATCTAACACATATTGTTGTTTTAATTTCATCCCTTCTGACAGGGTCAAACGTAACAATGTGCAACTTTTGTTTAAAGTGAAGTTATATTGGAGCTGCACTGATACAAAATAACACCTGTTTTGATAAACCACTCTTGTGAGTTACTTAGCCCAGCAAAAATAGTTTTCTGCTAAAATCATGATCTTTTTAAAATTGTGTTTTTATGAAAAATGGTACTTTGGTATCCACTCTTCCCTATAATATTAGAAGATGACTGAATGATAAAAAGTCAAGCCTTGCCGACCATACAACAATGTTCGCTATCGATACATTATTATATAACGTTTGTAACCATATCACATTCTGTATATTGTGTATTCTGTTTCTATTCTGGTTTCTTTTTTATTTTACTCAATCATTTAAATTCTAATAAAAAATAAAAATAAAATATATTTGTTAGATTTTACAGACAGTGAACAGATCATTTGCAATAATGCATTTGCATACATTAGAGTTTTTTCCGACTGCTTACACACAAAATCTTTTCTTATCGCACGATTTCTGAAACCTCTCGCTCAAAATGCTAAATCTCCAAAACCAGAAGCTATTTCTCAGCCTTGAACTTCAATAGCTAAAAAAAACAAACACTTTTTTTCAGAACACCACACACAATTTTCTATCTAAAACATACAAATTTAACAGGAAGCTACTTGCTTTTCTTTTCCAAACACAACCAATTAAAATGCTACACTTATTTACACGGTCACACACACACTCCTCACATGTGCAAACACTAATTTATTAACTAGTTACTAACCAATCACTGCTTTACTGTAGTATAGGTCAAGTAGGTGTTCTGGTACAAAAAAAAATAAATAAAAATAAAACTGGTTTGCTACCCATTTATGATTTGCATATTGTCACAAATAATTAAGAAGTATACAATTATTATTATTATTATTATTATTGTATTATTATTATTACAATTTTAACATTTTGCATTGTTGGGTTGCTTTTAGTTTTTTTCTAACTGCTTACACAAAAAATCTTTTCTTGTCTCACAATTGCTGAAACCTCTCTCTCAAAATGCAAAACTACACCAAGCTACAAAAACCAGAAGCTGTTTCTCTCAGCCATGGACAGTTTTTACCAAAACTAAAACTAAAATCTCTGTTCTGGTCCAAAAAAAATAAAAAATAATAATGGTTTGCCACCCATCCACAATTTGTAGTTTTCTACCCTCATTTCTACCTTTTTTTTTTTTTTTTTACATACTATATGTTTATAGGTTTGTTGTATGCTACTGTATACACCAGTAATGTTTGCCCTAATGAATATTTTTAGTTTTTTCATATCATTGGTGTTTACATTGTACCTGTTCCCCCTCTCTCCGCAGATTACTGTCACTGGAGAACATTGTATTAAAATGTAGATATACGCCTAAAGAGCGAGGAGCTTTAGATTAAGAAAAACAATGTTTACATGGTATATCCAAAAGTGTTTTATTATGAAAGAAATGTTTGTCATTTGGTGTAAATGCTTGATTCTGACATATGTTTATGGCAGTTTGAATACAGGAAATGTGAGGAATTCTGCGTTGTGTGTGTGCAGTTTTAAGAATTGTATGTAGTTTTGAAAAAAGGTGACCCTGTTTTAAAAATGTGTGTAAACAGTTGGAAGAAAAAACAACTAATTTTGCCTTGTTTGCTAGATCAACTACCATTATGATTTACATTGTTATCATAATAATAATAGACGGAGAAGAATACGAATAAAACATTTTAATGACAAAAACACAATAACACACTCAAAACGAGAGAGAGCACTGCTGCCACCTGCAGATTTAAGGGCTTTTGTTAACACATTGTGACAGTAACATACTTTCACTTTCGTTATGACGTTATAGCTGTTACTTCAAAACACACTCCTTTTCACAGAACAGCTTACTCTATATAATACACTTATGAATAGACCTATACCAATAAGGTATTTGGACTGGACGACAGCGACTTTTCTATCTATTCTCAGGACGACACAGACAGTTTCTTTTATACAAGTTTTATTTGTTTATTTAATCATTTCATTTTGAGAAAAGATAATGTATTTAAAAAAGACAAAGATACTTTTTGGCATGTGTAAAATAACAAGGCAATAAGAAGATTCTTGTTGGAAAAAAAAAACAATGACTACACTGGCTGTTGTTTGTACTCGTGTACACATTTTATTACTTTATGTTCTGTAACAAACACAATAGCTTGCTCACATGCACCTTTTCTGGCACACCTGTTCTTGATTAGAACATTTCATTGCACTCTCAGGTTGTTGCTCTTTTAACCACGTTCCTGTTTGCACAAGCAATGATTTAATGTGGAACTGAATAACCAGATGTTATGTTTTTTGTCTTCAGCACTCAGTAAATTATTGTTTATTCTTATTCCTTACATCTACAAATGTTTGCAGTGATGGATTTAATACAGAATAGTTCATCAGCAGGCCTGAGGCACCACAAATTGGGCGCCATGGTTCATAAAGTGCTGACAAAACTTAATACATAGACACTGAATAAGGGAGAGATTTTTTAGGCTTACATGAATGGAGCTTAACTTACTAAATGCTGACCATTGACGGTAAAATGCATTGGATGGCAGAACTGTGATGGCAAATTGTGGCCTATGGTTTGTGGAATCTGAGAGTAGCAGTGCATAACCGGTATCTGCTCTTCATTTATCAAGGCCATTCAGTCAAGACAAGACCAAGACAGCAACACTTAAAACATTCAAAGATATTCTTTGAACAAGCTCAGAGATTTGTGACATGCTTCAGTCACTAAATTGTCCTGATCTGAATGACTTGAGTCAGTTTGTCATTTTAGAAATAGTTACGCAGAGGATGAGCACTGACCACAGAACAGCACATGAACTCTGAGATGCTCGTTTCGCATAGGCCCAGATCTTAACCTTAAATCAGGCAATTCTTTAACCTAAGATTAGCGAGGATTTGCCCCCCGGTGGGTTTCTGCGGCTGGAGGGAAGCCCAGCGGCAGGCTCCTCAGTTGTGGACAGAGAAGAAGAAGCTGCTGTCTCATTTTGCTCCTGAAAATGTTCAGGTTCTTCCATGCAATCTGTGAACAGCAAAGCAAAAAGACATGTGAAAAAATTGTCACATTATTGTAACTTTATTAAAACATTTTGACAAATTTAAACACTTGGTTAAGTGGATTAAAATTTTATGAAAACCCAAAATCTTCAGTCCTTACATTATTTACATTCTCAGACATTTTTTCATTATATAGAGGAAGACACCAAAACTGAACCTTTGGAAGCATTTGATGCACATTTACATATAACATTAGAATGAATTAAAAAACTTTCAAGCTTTACAATAAATTGGGACAAAAACGAGTTAATGCCCTATCTGAGATGATACAGTATATAAGCATTGCAACATTTGCTTTCATTCCATTCTAGTCCTTGGTATTGCACCACCAATAATATCTTATTAGAAGATGTTGATATACATTGCATTCGGGAGGTATTCAAAGCACTTCAATTTTTCCCACATCATTTATGTTACAGCTTTATGCCAAAGTGGATTCAAATAATGTAGTTTTCTCAAAATTCTACACACAATACTCCATAATGACAAAGTGAAAAAATATATATATATTTAATTTATTAAAAAAAAAAAATCCTGAAAAATCAGATGTACATAAGTATTGACAGCCTTTGCTGTGAAGCTCTAAATTGACCCAGGTACATTCTGTTTCCACTGATCATTCTTGAGATGTTTCAGCAGCTTAATTGGAGTTCACCTGTGGAAAATTCAGTTGATTGGACATGATTTGAAAACGAATACACCTGTCTATATAAGGTTCCAGGGTTGACAGTGCATGTCAAAGCATAAACTAAGCATGAAGACAAAGGAATTGTCTGTAGACATCCAAGACAGGATGTCAAATGTTGTCTTGACATATTTGCTACCAATGTACCAATGAGCACAGTGGCCCCTGTCATCCGTAAGTGGAAGATGTTTGGAACCACCAGGACTGTTCCTAGTGCTGGCCGACCATATACGCTGAGTGATCTTCAGAGAAGAGCCTTAGTCAGGGAGGTGATCAATAACCCGTTGGTCAATATGTCTGAGCCACGTCGAAGCTACTCCCCGCCCGGAATTTGCCAAAAGGTATCTTAAGGACTCTCAGACCATAAGAAACAAAATTATCTGGTCTGATGAGACTAAAATTGAACTGGAGTGAATGTCAGGCATTAAGTTTGGAGAAAACCAGGAACCGCTCATCACCAGGCTAATATCATCCCTACAGTGAAGCATGGTGGTGGCAGCATTATGCTGTGGGGATGTTTTTCAGCAGCACGAACTGGAAGACAGGTTAAAGAGAAAGATAAATGCAGCAATGTACAGTAACATCCTTAATGAAAACCTGCTTCAGAGTTCTCCTGACCTCAGACTGGGGGCGACAGTTCATTTTTCAGCAGGACAATGACCCAAAGCACACCGCCAAAATATCATATAGAGTGGCTACACAACAACTTTGTGAATATCCTTGGATGGCCCAGCCAGAGCCCAGACCTAAATCTTATTGAACATGTCAGAGAGATCTGAAAATGGCTGTAAACCGTCACTTCCCATCCAACCTGATAGAGGTTAAGAGGTACTGCAAAGAGGAATGGGCAAAAATTTCCAAAGACAGGTGTGACAAGCTTGTGGCATCATATTTAAAAAGACTTAAGACATCAAAAAGCACATCATATTTAAAAAAGACAAAGTATTGAGCAAAGGCTGTTAATATTTTTGTACATTTTTTATTTTTAATAAATTTGCAACAATTTAAAAAACTCTTTTTTTTAACGTTGTCATTATGGGGTATTGTGTGTAGAATTTTGAATAAATAAATTAATTTAATACATTTTGGAATACGGCTGTAGCATAAACAAATGTGGAAAAAGTGAAGCGCTATACATACTTTCTGGATGCACAGTATACTGGTTTTATGATAAACATAAATGATTACTGAACAAATTGTCTTCATATAATAATAATAATGACAATAATTTGTTACAATTACATTATGGGCTCACTAAAACCATAGACATTTGGGGGAAAGGGGGATCGCAATCACCACCAGTTTACAAAATCCACTGCACACCACGCACCATCTTTTAGGTGGAGAGAAGACATAGTGATGAAGCCATTAGACCCTTTTCACATGATATCATTCAGCATCCAGTTTGTGTATCGGTACTTCCACCAATAGAGAATTCAGCCAGTCACCTGTATATTTACTACAAATATGGTTAGATGATAACTATGCCTGTTTTCTGTTGTCTGCATTCAAGGCCAGACATCTGCCATCTCAAACAAAGTTACCATGCAGTGAGATTTCTGCTTGAACTGAGAAAATGGTACTTTAAAAGGAGTGCTGTACTTGCATTGCTTTGTGCTGATGTCTTTGATCCAGAAAAAGGTGGTATGTACTTGTCAGCATTTGTCAAATAAAGATTTCAGACTTTTACTGGATGCTGAACAAGTCAAATTTAAGGATTTGAGACCTTTTTGAGCACCGAAGAACAAGTAATAAATAAAAATGTGTGGGGATGGCCAATACTAGCGTTTTTGTGCTGGTACTGTGATAGTTTTACAGCCTGCTGTGGACAGCTGATTCACAAACACATTCATTTTCTTCACATTCTATGTAATGGTAAGTTCTCTGGCATTTTTATCAATCAATCTTTTAACAATTTTATAAATATACAATTTTATGTCTGTTTAACATTCAAATGAAATTAAATAGAATAAAAATAATGTTTGTGACATTTACTAATCAACAAAATCTACCTGTGCAGTGATATGGAAAATGGAATTAATGTATTTACAATTGCAAAAAAAAAAAAAAGAGAAGACTGCATTATAGTTATTTTTTTAGAATCTGAAATTATTTGTAAAAGGTAATACATATAATCCAATTAAAACAGATTTTTCGGGTAGCTCAAAAGACCCAACTCCCACCAACAAATGTCCAACATTTTTCCCATACAATGCCATCGGACATGTAAAAATAACTTATTGAAGAAGGCTTGGGAATCCTCTGTAGGCTATTGCTTCAGCTAAAAAGTTTTGGAAAACAAAAACAATAATTTTTCACTAGTCCAATATCCAGCTGTGTAAGAAAACATACAAAATATATGTTTTAATTTTGTATTATTAAAATGGCAAAATTCTGACTGAGGAAAGTGACTGAGGTGCTGGCCAGTTTGTTTTTTTGCCTAATAAATGACAGCAGGCTACATTTTTTTTACTTTAACAGATTCCTAATATATATATATATATATATATATATTTATATATATATATATATATATATATATATATATATATATATATATATATATATATATATATATATATATAATGCAATCATATATCTCATATATGATGTAATCATTTTGTGTTTTAATAAAATTTGTATTAAAAATTCTTTATTCTAAATCTTTAGAAAATGTTTTTGGTGCATCACAAACTGTGGTTATGATGACAGTTAGTCCAGCAAAAAAAAAAAAGTGTTAAAAATGTGTTAAAAATGTCACTATAAACAAAGTGTTTAAACCTAATAATTAAATAGAAAATGAGGCAAATAACTGCAAAAAAAAGTCCAGTTTTAAAAAAAAAAAAACAGAGCCACCCCTTTCACCAGGCTGGCTACAGGCCCGAAATTCACTGCAGATAGGCAAAAGTTAAGTGAATTCATTGTGTAAAGGGTCCATTATTAGATACATTAGGCCACAGGATGTTGGAAACACACCCCTAGTCTTCGCAAAGGACATTAATGGACCTTAGTTAAAGTCTTATTTGAAAAATAGTAGTAAATGACACCCCCTGCTGGCCTCACTAGAACTTCTTCCAGCAGCAAACTAGTTTTCCCATGCAGTCTAGGTACCAACTTGCCATCTAGGTACTAACCATACACAACCCTGCTTGACTTCAGTGGGAGACCATGTGAAAGCTGCAGAAAGCTAGCTGCTGCCTACAACATACATTGTTAACAGTATAAAATATTGTTGGTTCCAACATTTCAAAAACAATAAATAGTATTTAAAGATTAAACATTTAAAGCAATTTTCTTGGTGTTTTTGTTGTTACGGTGGATATCAAAATTTGTGAAATGTTTATAAACAAATGTTTGTTTTGTCTGTTTTAATTCATAATATAAAGCTAATTTAGAAGTGGCTATTCCATATAAGTGAAACACTGTTAAAAACAACAACAACCAGGAGTCACATCTATAAACATGGTGTAAACATGAAACGGGTAAAACATGTGCAAGCCAATTTCCACTCTTTAAATCATACAATATAATTCTTAATAAATTAATACAATTGTATTCTGGCATACATTCATTTTTAGGATGAATTATATGCAGTTTTATAAATGAGAGCCCGACAATATCAAAAACTCTAACACACAAACACACACACACACACACACACACACACACACACACACACACACACGCACGCACGCACGCACACACGCACGCACGCACGCACGCACGCACACACACACACGCACACGCACACACACACACAAACACACATTTATATATTCAAAGGCTGAACAATAAAACTGAAACACCTGGTTTTAGACCACAATAATTTATTTGTATGGTGTAGTAGAGCAGGGTCTCCTTTTGCAGCCAATGCAGCATCAATTGGTTATGGGAAAGACAAAGGTCAGAGGGATTTTGAGCCATTCTTGATGTGATGCTAGTGGAGAAAAAAACATTTCCTGACTTGCTTTTCCAAAGTGGCTCAATAATATTTAGAGATCTGGTGAATGTGCAGGCCATGGGAGATGTTTAACTTCACTTTCATGTTCATCAAACCACTCTGTCATCAGTCTTGCTGTGTGTATTGGTGCATTATCCTGATAAAATGCACTGCCTTCAGGATACAATGTTTGAACTATTGGGTGCACGTGGTCCTCCAGAATAGTTCGGTAGTCCTTGGCAGCGATGCATCAATCTAGCATTCTTGGTGGTACACTACTTTGGGGATTCTCCACAACGTAACTCCCAGATGTAAAAAAAAAACAGTAAAGATGGACTTGTCAGAGATCAATACATGTTTCATCCTGTCCACAGTCCAAGATTTTCACAGCTGGCACCATTGAAAGCAACGTTTGGAATTGGCTTGAGTGACCAAAGATTTGGCTATAGCAGCCCATATTGACCCTGTGAAGCTCCTGAAGAATAGTTTTGGTGGAAACAGGAGATTTGATGTACACATTTAATTCTGCAGTGATTTGGGCAGCTGTGGTTTTATGTTTTTTTGGATTCAATACGGTTAGCACCGGGACAACCCTTTCAGACAGCTTCCTCTTTCCTCTATACAGTTATTCCTATTAGATGTGGTTTGTCCTGGGTTAGTCTTGATACTGTGGCCCTTTGATTCATCACAAAGATTTGCTGTCACAGATGCACCAGCGATCAATTTGTCCTCTTTTAAACTCTGACATGTCACCATGTTGTGTACACTGCAATATTTTAGGCAAAACTGTGCTATTACTCTGTTCATTAAACCTTTACATGCTGCTCTTAAGCTGCTGTTGCAGTAGACTTTTCTCCTCATAGACTTCCATTTATATGCACGTGAATGCATTACACCAGAAACGCAAGCTCGTGCGACAAGTTTCGCAGTTTGCTGCGTTGGAAAGTTCAAGCTTGGTGAACTCTAACCTGCAAAATATCATCACGTGATTGTGTGAAACCAATTGAACATAAAAAAATGACCTCTAAGGGCAGAAATTTAAAATATGGACCAATCGCTCACTTTTCTAAACGTCTAATCATCTTGTTTAATCCCGCTCCTTTTCGCAGTGCCGTACTACAAAATTTGACGTGCTCAAACTTAAGTGTGACCGCAGCTTTACTGGTGGAGTGTGCAATCAATGAAGATTGGTCACCAGGCTGGTCAAATTTAGCCCTGAAACCTCCAATACTAAATTTACCAGTGTTTCAGTTTCATTGTCCAACACCTGTATTCTGTATATATACGAGTTAAAAATAAGAGTTAATGAAACACTTACCGACACTGATTGGGCCTTCATCACCATTCTCACCATTCTGTGCAAAAATAAAAGCATATGCTTAACAATGGATTTTAGAAAGAGCATTTCAAATTGAGCAATCAGTTTAAATGTGTAATGTCTAATCAAGTTCAAAGTTTTGTTTTGAGTCAAAAATGCCTGAAGATACTTCTTCTTACCACAGGTAGATTATTGTTAACCATGCTGTTACTGTGGTTGACTGGTTGAGCAGTACATCTTCTGAGAGGGGCAGATGGTTCTCCACACAACACACCTGTAGGTTTCCCACCTTCAAAACAAATGAGAACTTTAAAAGCATCTGTGGCATGTGTGTTCAATAACCCATACAATACTTGCAGTCAACAAATATCCAATCAAAAAGTTGTGTTTGTGTAAACACATTAATAGCAAAGACATCGCCACACAAAAAAATACAACCATAAGCACATTTAGAACTCTGAAAAGTTAGTAAATTAAAAGAGTAATTCACTTTGTTCAGTACTAATTTACATTGTAATTCTTTCCTACAATGGAAGTCAATGATGACCATCAACTGTGTAAAACTGATGAAAACAGCTCATACAGGTTTGGTACAGGTGGAGTGAACTATTTTATTCACATATTGCATTAGTTATGGGGCTGCACGCTGACGCAGTGGGTAGCACATTCGCCTTACAGCAAGAAAGTCACTGGTTCGAGCCTCAGCTGGGTCAGTTGGCGTTTCTGTGTGGAGTTTGCATGTTCTCCCCATGTTCGCGTGGGTTTCCTCTGGGTGCTCCTGTTTCCCCCACAAGTCTAAAGACATACTGTACAGGTGAATTGGGTAGGCAAAATTGTCTGTAGTGTATGTGTGTGAACGAGTGTGTATGGATGTTTCCAGTGATGGGTTGCAGCTGGAAGAGCATCCGCTGCATAAAACATAGGCTGGATGAGCTGGCGATTCATTCTGCTGTGGTGACCCCAGATTAATAAAGGGACTAAGCCGAAAAGGAAATTAATGAATGTGTTAGTTTTTTTAGGTGTGTTTATGTGGAACTTAAACACATTCTACAAGTGATTTTCATCAAAGTGAATCATGCTGAGTTACCTTGCTAGAACTATGAGTAAGGAGTTTATCTCTAAAATTAATTCAGTTTAAAGAAAGGCTTACTTATACACAGCTTTTTAAATGTCTTCTTTAGTCAAAAGTTTAGTTCTTTAAAGGCAAGCGGGTGATTTTATCTAGAAGAAATATATTGAAAAAGTGATCAAGCTTATATAAACCAGCACCTGGTGGATTGTTCCTCCGATGGGCATGAGGGTCCTCGGGTTCGGCAAATATACTAGATGCCATTTTATTTTTTTTCACAGGTTTCTCTTCATCTGTGCCAAAGCAAATATTTGAGCCTCCACCAGGTGGACGCAGCACCCTAAAATGGACAGCAAATACAGATTAACAATGTAAATTAACAATTTAATTAAAAGATTTAAAATCACTCTCTCTTATATTCACGTATGCTCTTGTTTCCTATTCATGTCTTGTTATCTTTAGTTTCTGAAGAAACAATATTCATGACTTCCTGAGAATGGACATGTTTTCTCACTGACATCCCCACAACATGAAAACATTGAACTTATAGAATTATAGACGTAAATTGTTTGCTTCAATTGTTCCAAAGCAGTGAGCAAAGGCAGCATTGCAATATCTTCTTCATTTGGTTTGCTTTCAAAAGTAACACTTTTAAACGGACCAAAAATTATCACATGCAGGTAAGCCAATATCTTATTGGTCGGAATGCATCTGTTTCAGTGATTTTATATAATTTTATATCATATCAGATTTGTGTACTCATTGTCTCATTCTGCTGTTGTTATATTATATAATATATAATTATATAAAGATTTAGTTTGTTTCATTAATGGTTTTGTTAGCTTTAATTTGGTTTTTATTTTTTCAACACATCTATTTAGTTTTTTTACCATTTCAGTTTTAGTATTTTTTGTTAGCAAAGCTGAATATCCAATATTGACCAGAGCAAAGATTGCAAACCTCTTAGTAATAAAAATAGTGGTTTGAACTGACACTGAACCAAAAAACATACAAATGCAATTTAAATAAAACTTTTTAGAACAATTAGACATCTAAAAATGTATTTATAATTAAGATAATATAGAACCTAGTTTCCTTTTTTTGGTAAATAAAGAAAATATTAAACATGTTTTAGATGTTTTGATTATAATCATACACTTGACTGATGTTTTGGCTCTGAAAGTGCATCTACAGGTGTTTCTCTAAACAAGTCAGATTTTTCTCCACAGAATGATAGTCTATTCATTTTGAAAATTAAAAATATTTTGCCAATTATTATTTTATTATATAATTATATTAATAGTTTTGTTTAGCTTTAGTTTTACAGTAGTTGAGGATTCACCCAATGGTGATAGCACCCCAAGACCATAAGCTGGCATTATGCAAATTTGTTAGGGACCTATAAATAAAAATATATTTATGAAGTAAATATGAAAGCGAATGGCTGATCTCTGATCATTTTTCTTATAGGTTACAATAACTTTATTTATTTTGCTCTATAACCTTTTACATTCAAACTACATTGAGCATACTGCATTAAAGATAATAGAACACGAGTCACTATAGAAAAATACTAAAAAGGCTAGTTTGGGAGGGTTGTTTTCAATCCAAATATTTCTGCAGAAAACGGTATTACAGGCAGCAGAAGCTAGCATAGGATGCAAACTTATTCCTAATATCTCATGAATCTATTGCATTAGGCTATCCATGGGATCTAATATGGATTAAATCTTTAAATCAAAACATATCGCTCATACTATTTTAACTTCACTCCATGGCAATGAAGCTTCAATCAATGCTGAAACTAACAACATTCCCAAATTCCATTCGCCAGAAGAAACGTGTAATGATGGCGAATTCGCTTATTTGCACGTCATTCGTTTAATAAAACGGTATGAAATGAATAGCTAAATCAGGAGACTAGCTAATAAAAATTACTACGCCAGCTGAACCGCGCCCAACCTTAAACGCACACATGCGCTCAAACACCCCCTCGTACTAGGAAAACGTGGAGAGGGACTTGTTTCATATTTGCAAACGATGGATGTAACAGCCTCCAATAATTCCTTAATTGTGTCATTAATTATGGGCTGTTCTTTTGGGGATTCTGCAGTCAGAGGATATGTCGCAAAATGCCTTAGACAGCATTTTGGATCACCATTTAGCTGACTTGGAAAGCAACTCTGTCTCAAAATGCTGGTGTCTATCCGAAATATTGCCTGTAAGCTAGAACATGTTCAGACTCTGAAGGAGATCCAAATATTAGACTGCAATAAATCTATATTTTAAAACAAAAACCTTTGGTGAAATGATTTTAATTACCCAATAGATTAAACTTTGCATTTTGAGTTGTTGCGTATCCTATCACCCAAAATGCAGTATTGTCCCCAAGATGGTGTTCACTTCTCAAAAGCATCACCACCCGTTTTTACACTAATATCGATGAAGTGGACAGTAAATCTGGTCAGTAGCATTAAACCTCATATAACGGTTTGAGAAACAATTCGCCATCATGACAGCTAAAATCATTCCAAACAGTTTGAGCATTCAGTCATGTATTTATGTCTCTCAGCACCTGGAGCTGTTCCTCGCGGTCGGGTCCATGCCTTGATAAGTGGTGGTGGTCGTCATCTTCAACACTCACAGTTTGTTCACGCTTTTCAACAATATTCGACAGATTATCATAAAGCCACAAAGAGCGTCTCCTGTTCAGGTCATCAGTCTGTCGGTGCTGAATCTGCGCTCCTGCACACGCCCATTAGACGCGACAAGAGCTGAATTCTGCGGATTCGCCACCGGAGCGGCGCCAGAGAGCAAACTATATAGTGTGAAAAACACAGCAGCAGTCGCAGATTTACAAAACTTGGGTATTTCAGAAAGAAAAAATGATGTGTGTGTATGTATGCATGCATGCATGCATGCATGCATGTATGTATGTATGTATGTATGTATGTATGTATGTATGTATATATATATATATATATATATATATATATATATATATATATATATATATATATATATATATATATAAGATTTTTTTACAGTATGTCTAATAATATTTTTTTCTTCTGGAGAAAGTCTTATTTTATTTCGGTTTGAATAAAAGCAGCTTTTATTTTAAAAAAAAACATTTTAAGGTAAAAATTTTTAGCCCCTTTAAGCTATATATATTTTTTGATAGTCTACAGAACAAACTATTATGTTTAGAAATGTGTTAAAAATGTATTATTATTATTATAACAAAACATTATTAAACAAAAATAGGGGGAAAATAAACAGGGGGGATAATAATTCTGACTTCAACTGTATGTATATAAATACACACACAAATTCCTTAATGCTCAAATTGACCCAATAGAAAACTATTGAAAATTCTAAAGTGAATTCTGAAAGGTGACAGTAAATTTAAGGTGAAACAGCAGTTAAATAAATAACTTGACTTCTAGTTGCTCATTAGGTATCATTGGTATTTGGCTTTTATGAAAGGCAAAGAGTTCTATATTACGCTTATTTTGCCAAAATACAGAGATCATGCTTTGAGTTTCTAATTTTTCAATCATATATAAGACGATACACGTAAATGTGTGTATCTGTGTGTTTAAATACTGTAGATAGAGAGACAGACAAATAAAAAGAAACTAGAAAAGCAAATAATGTGCAAAATGAGGATCTGGAGAATATTCTGGATGCCAGTGAGCTGTTTAACTTCTTAAGTCAAACAAGGGATTCATGGTTAACAGCCAAAAAAAAAAAAAAAAAAAGAAAAAAAAGTAGACACAATGTGAAGAAAAACTGCATGTGAGCAATTTGCTTTCAAATGTTTTTGCGAACGAGTATAAGAAAAAATATTGCAGCTGTGCCTAAAAATATAATGTAATGTGTATTTATATAGACATGGCCATTCACCCAAAGCTCTTCTCAATCATGAGAGGGGGTCTCTCCACACCAGTGCCAGTGTGCAGCATCCACTTAGATGATGTGACGGCAGCCACAGGACAATGATGCCAGCACTCACCAAACACTAGCTATTGGTGGAGTGGAGAGACAGTGACAGAGCCAATTTTGTTGATGTGGAGGATTGGAAGACCATGATGGGTAAGGGCTGATGAAGGAAATTTGGCCAGGACACTGGGGTTACACCCCTACTCTTTACGAGAAGTGCCATGGGATTTCTAATGACCAAAGAGAGTCTAGACCTCGGTTTAATGTCTTATACAAAAGACAGCACTCACTACCAGTATAGTGTCCCCTTCACTTTACTGAGGCATTAAGACTCACACAGACCGCAGGTTGAAGACCCACTGCTGGCCTCACTAATACCAATTCCAACAGCAACCTAGTTTTCCCATGTGGTCTCCCATCCAGGTACTGATCAGGCTCAGCCCTGCTTAACTTCAGGAAGCAACTGGTCTTGGGCTGCAGGGTGATATAACTGTGGCATGAGCAGTAATGTAATGTCTGCTTTAACTTAAAAAAAATTTAAAATACAAGAACAAAACGTATAAGAATGACCTAATTCTGTAAAACTGATTTATTCCAACGTAAAACCTTAATTAACGATTCAATTCACAACAAGTTACAGAACATAATTGTCTTGTCTTGAGTAAAAAAAGAAGAAATTTATATAAAAGCCCAAAGGCTCAAAGTAAACAAAACAGTGCTTATTAAAAAAAATGGAAGAACATTTTGGCCTCAAAAATAACAAAATAAATAGATAAATCTGTCTACCAATCAAAAGGCTTTTTTCTCAGAACACACATCTGATAAAATATCACTGTTTAGTCAAATAGATTAAAAAATGATGTAATTTATCAGATGTGTGAGAAGATTGATTTCTCAGTAAGGAAGGATTTGGTTGTTTGGAGTGAGGCCAGTGTATTGAACACTTTGTTAAACAAACACAAACACACACACAAAATGAAAAACAAAAACAAAACAAAACAAAACAAAGTGGACTGTTAATAATGTCAGAGGTAGTTTGTTAAATCAGGCCAGCTAGCTGTTCCTGAAATACTTCGATGGCATCCTCATCCTCCATTTCCAACTGCGAATAGAAAAACTGTGTAAATTGCATACATGTTTTAAGCACAAAGACATTCAGAATTGGTTATAGTATTGAACTGTACCAGAGCTGGTGTGTCAGTCTCTTTAATTGACTCGCCATCAAACATGAAGCGAATCAGCTTCCTTGTTAACCCCTGTGCAGAGATAAATGTTGACATAGCTGCTTAAGACAACATGAAATATTCTAGATAAAATGAGAATTCAGGTGACATTTTTTTTACTTTTTCTGTGGATTAACATGCACGGATTAATTATTTGTTTTAAGAATAACAATGTGAGCAAAATAAACATTGTACATTTTGATTTTGCACAGACTTGAACACACTTGATCAAAGCAATAGCATTCGAGAAAGTATCAAACAAAACTCAAGTATGGGCAAAGAAGACAACAGAAGCATTTACAATAAATACACCGTTAAATAATAAAAGTACATAATCCAAATTCCAGCATTTTACTCACTTGCTTTTTGAGCCAATGAACAAGTTCTTTAATGGCCTGTTTCCACTGATTAGTACAGTACTGTATGGCATGGGTTACCTTTATCAGGCTTTTGTTTTTATTGCTAAAATACTCTCGAGGAAATGTCTTCAGTAAAGCTGTACGGGTCGTTCACATATCATATAATAAGCACTTCTCACAAAACAGACACTTTACACATACCTACTTGTGCATAAATGTTTAATACTAACTTTTCTATGAACATAATTTAATTATAACTGCATATCAATGCGAAATAGCCTACTGTAACGTCTGAAATTATATAAAATAAATGAATAAATGCAACATTTATGAACACATACAGACATTACAGTCTCCGATATGTTACTACTAACAAAAAAACTACACACAGCATACATTAAGGCCCAATCCCAATTCTATTTTTGTACCCCTACCCCTTCCCCATGGCCCTCACAACCGAGGGTTAAGGGGAGGGGCTTCAAAATTTACCCCTAAGAATTGGGACACCACTACAGCACCTGCACACATCATCATATGTCACCGCAATCTCATGCTTCATATGAGATCAGATGATCGTGACTGCTGTATTTATTCCAGTTGTGCAATTTTTTGGTAATTATCTTCAGGAAATCACTGAAGGCATACAGTATATTATCATAATGATCTAATGTGGCAATAAGATCATAACTGTTCTGTGTATTTACACAGTGGCCATATATTCATCAATGCAAACACACCAAAAACAACATTACCAATATAGCAGACACTGTAAAAAAAGCTCATTCCCAGCCACTAGACTTTTCTGACAAGGTATTCGAGTGTCATCAAGTGTCAAAATGTTGTGTGTTTATTGTTCATTGTTATTTTTGTTTATTGTTATTTATTGTTATTGTTAAGTATTATAGATCGTGAAATTTTGTGTTTTTTTTCAAAGCATGACAGTTAAACATGAATATATTAAAATGACTAAATTAAAACATATGTTTGTTTGTCATAATAATTCGTAATAATGACAAAAAAATACAAATTTGTGGATCTCCTTACTTCCGGGTTTAGCCATGCTGTGGCTGGTGTATTCTGGGAAATTTTCTTACCCCTTGGTCTCGAGTGTGGTCCTGAAAAATCTTCGTTCTAAGGGCTTTTCACCCCTTCCACTTAGCCATATGCCTTCAGGCTAAAGAGAATTGGGACACCCCTACCTCTTGGTTTGCACACGCAAAACGAGGGGTAGGGGTAAGGGGAAGGGCTAAGGGGTAAAATTATGATTGGGCTTAATTCTTTATTTGGGTTCAAAAACAACACGCAACATAGCCCACAGTCAGAGCAGACCTCTCATATGTGTCTTTAATCTTCAGCAGCACACGTAGCCCCTTGTTAGAAAGTAATTTCGTCTTTCCGAGTTCATAATAGTCCAAAAGGTCATAAAAATAGTTAAACATGGCAGTTTGTTCATGTTTTAGGTTGCAGACGCATCATTTGTTGCTGTTTTTTCCAGCTTCTCCTTTGCTTTTTGCTCTTCACTCACGCGTTTGTTTCTTTTTGACAGGATCGGATATCAAAGAGCTTCAATGATCACGAGCAAGTTATTAATATGAGCTCAAAAAGTTTGTTATTTCAAATATAGATGAGAACGTGAGCTCTCTGGACAAAGTGAAACCACTCGCACTTTTAGAAGGGCTTGTAAAATAACAACAGGGCACAGCAAATTTTGTTCTTCTTGGCTTTGTGGCTGTTCTTCAAGACGACGACAAGGTTTGTTTGAGCTGAGGTCGACCATGGCTCATTATTAAATGTATATATTATCATGGTGTAATCTCTCGGCTGTGTATTTAAAACATGGCGGTTCCTTTGTTTTCATTCTGGCTTGTTGCGCAAAAGAATGACGCATCTCTGTCTAGCTCCTACTTTTAGTACCCTTGGTCCCCCTTTGCAAAGGGTGCCAAAAAAGTGGTACATTACGCCTTTTGACAGTAGAAACGGCCATAAAAGTGTACCGAACCGTACTGTACCACTCAGTGGAAACGGGCCATAACACCCACGATTGGCCATCATGTTCACTCATTAAACAAAAATAACTATGATTGGCTCTAATGATCAGTGCTTTTCACTGAGCCAGTTTTCGCACTATGTGCACCTGAATGAATGATTCATATATTTGACATAAATATTAAAGTCACATTTACCTGCCTGTCACAATATACTTTCATCAGTTTACTGAGGGGTGCGTGCTTCTTGATTTTGAACTGAACCACTGAGCCATCCTGGCTAGATACTCTCAGATTTATGTGGCTTTTCTCTGATTTCACACCATCCTGAAATGAAGAAAATTAATCATTCTAAATAATAATAATAATAATAATAATAATAATAATTATACCATCAAGAAAAAAAAACTGCTTCAAAGTTATTTACCGTTTTAGTAAAAAAACATGCAAAGCATCCAAACAATCAGGGATGGGCAAAAATTAAATATCTCAAAATAATATGTATCAAAAAAGAAAACTACAAAATACAGCAGCCACAAATGTATAAAAATAAAATACTGTATTTTGAAAATACTGCAAAATACTTTTACAACGAAGTATGACATTTTTTGGCAAACCTTCTATTGACAGGCCTCTGATCAATCCCCTTACCAATAAACTGACTTAAAGTAAACAACAATAGGGTATATGCCGAAGCATGCTAATAGGACTTTTAATTTTCCAGTAACCTGGGTTAAGCGCTTCCAGCGAATTGAATGCCAATGCAAAATCTGGTGTGTTTAAGGTCTGTTTTCTTCAAAAATCAGCGATCTCCACTAGCTGAGTAATATCCGATTTAAACCCAGTATATTCAATGGAGCTTCTGCGTTAGCCTGCTGATTCTGACGGGCGCGTGCGAGTAAACAGCTTTTTGTCTCGTTTTACACTTGAGCAACTAAATAAATGCTACAGTTTATTTAACTGAATGTATTTCAATGACATAACAACATCGATGCTGTATAAGGAACTGTATAAAATGGAAAAAAGTTCACAATAACAGGTCATCGGAAGTGTATCAGCATGGGAACAGAACTAGCTCAGCATATACCCTATTGACAGCAATAGCATTTCTCAGAGTAAGTTTAAGTTAGCTTCTATGCACCTCATTCACCTCTACTGTACATGAAGGTATTCATAAACCTTTCTTTGACTTTAGCATAAATTGTTTACAAATTTTATACAGAAAGTCCTGTCTTGAAGATTATTAGAATCAAAATTGCCGCCATCTCTTAACAGTCTTTTATTTAAAAAGGATGATATATGACGAGGCTATTTTAATTTTCAATCATTCTTTTTTCTTTGGCTTGGTCCCTTATTTATGACTGGTCGCCACAGCAGAATTAACTATTAAACATATGTTTTACACAGTAGATGCCCTTCCAGCCACAACCCAGCACTGGGAAACACCCATACACACTCATTCACACACACACACACACACACACACACACACACACACACACACACACACACACACACACACACTCATTCATACACTATGGCCAATTTGGTTTATTCAATTCACTTGTAGCACATGTTTTGGGATTGTGGGCGAAGCTGGAGCACCTGAAGGAAACCCACACCAACACAGGGTGTGAACATGCAAACGCTAACCACTGAGTCACACATTTAATTTTTTGTTCATATTTTTTTTCATAAATATATATATATATTTTTTGCAATTTAAATCTTTTGTACTTAATGTAAGAACATGATTTCTGAAAACTGCTAACTACCATCTCCAGTTTTAGCAATAATATCTCTAAAAAAAATGTAGCAATCTGTTTCTGCAAATAAACTCTTCATATACATCCTGCTGCTGTGTAACGGGAGTCTGGAGTTTTTGACCAGACTATATAGACTGGAGTATTATAAAATATTTGTGTTTCATATACTGACACTTTGACATCTTTCCTTTTCATTAACACCTGCAGATCAGCTATGCCATTTGAAACAGCCTATGAAGTTTTGTAGGAATTGCCACAGTAGAACTTATTTGTATGTTGTTTGTCTTATTTTCTTGGCATATACATCAGCAATCCATCAAAAACTACTATTGCTAGTGCAGTTTACTCATTCTGCATAGATGTTTTCAGTTCTTCTTTAACCGGAAAAGTCTCAGTTTACACCAGTTGACCATCTTTAGGTCTTTACTGTATTTCTAAACTTTCTTTGCATTTCCACCTGCAGCCCTAAGACTGACACTGAGGATGTTCTAAAGCTCCTCATCCTGTTCTTAAGGACTAATATTTTATTCCATCTCATTTCTGATTCTGATGCCGAATTGTACACTAAATGGCCATTACAAGCATTGACCACCTGCTTAATCAATTTCCTGTGCTAATCTCAAGCCTAGGCAAACAACTGAAAAAGCATCTGAGGCCGCATTGTCATCATGTAGACTTCTTACTAAGTATTTTACAGTATTTTAAAAATACAAAATACAAGACACTAAAGTATTTTGATACAAAATATTAACCCATTTTTAAAAACCTCATCAAATACAAAGTACAAAATGCTATTTTGTATTTAAAATACATATTTGAAACACTGTAACGTTATTATACTACCCATCCCTGCAAACTATGACTTATAAACATCAAATATTTTTACCCATAGAAAAAAATATTGTCCTTCAAAATTTAATCCATTAACCATAACAAAGTAACGTTAATGAAAATGCCCACAAGCAAAACAACAGCCATAAAAACGTATGATGCAAGCATTTATCCGTTAGTCATTAAAATTAGGAAATTAGGATACAATGCACCAGTGAAGTCTGTAAATTAAGCACATTTACGAAAATCTCAAATAAAAAAAAAACACCAGCGTAAATCAAATGATTTTACATATATCTGCGAAGTAAAGTGAGCTACACGGGCGGATCATTTCGCTGTGGCAACCACTGATAAATACGAATAATGAGAGAATTCCAATATTCGTTAATTCCACGTTGTTTTTGCAAACTTCATAATTAGCGCGTTCGCTTTATGAAGGATCATCTTTTCAGACACAAGATCGCTTGACAATACGTGAATAAAAACGTCCCCCATGAATACAGCACATTACTACACATTAGTGCATAAATAGCCCAAAGCCCAAAGAAATTTGAGTACAAACCTTCGTCTTTTCGTCTGCCATGACTTTAGTATGCCGCTATAACTTTAATATGCCGCTAATGACGCGATCGTATTGCTGCCGGATATGACGACGTAAAGGTAAATCTGTCGCTGCGTTTCATTCATCAGAAGGTCCCATCTAAGTGCCCTAATCTCTTCGAAAAGTTTGGCCTCAGGAGTGACATATGTTTCGAATGAATAACTGAGTGTAACTAAAACGCACTAGTGTAAACGGGGCAAAAAAAAAAAAAAAAGCTTCTCTTTGGAACGCACTTAGTTGATGCTCACAAAACATACATGAAACGGCTAAGCGTTTATTTATTTATGCATGTTTGTATTTAGCATGCGTGTGTATGTTTGTAATTATTCACGTTTTTCATTTATTAAAAAATATTTTGAACTGTTTGTTTTAATTTATAACTTTGTTCATAAACTTTTTACAATTAGCTAAAAAATATTATACTTAAATTTATTCGTGAAGTCAAACTCAATTTGTCATTGCTTGACACCAAACAACTTTCACAAACTTTATATATTTAAAGAGACGAGAAATAATAAAATTAAGAAAAAGAAACATTATTTTAAAGCCTTAAAAATTATTTTTTGAGTAATGTTTCGATTTGCGTCTAAATCTAAAAAAATGTATTTGTCTTGTCTAGGCATGAGCCAGTATAAGATTCAGACGGTGTGATAACCGTGGACAAAAATATCACGATTTCACAGTGCTGCTCTAAAATATCTTCTTTTTAAACGTATGGGTAAAAACAAAAAGGTTTCCTCTTTGAAAACAATATTTTATTTTTTGAAATATTTATAAAAGTTTGGAACAGTAAACATATCAGTCTAAATAATTCAAAAGATTAATTGACTTCTGCTGTCTTCATTAGTTTCCAAAACATAGATTTCTTTACAATTTAAAATGGCATCTTTGAAATTTTTTTTTCTGATGAAAATACTGTTGTCCTTAAAAAATGTAAATAAAAAAAATCTTACTCATACCTTTTAAAACCTTGACTTTTCCAAACAGCAGTATATCTTGAAATCGGTTATTGACCCATGCCCAGTCCTGTCTAACTACTCTTTTTCCGTTATTGCTCTTGTATGTTGTTACAAATTACCAACTGTGCAACAGATCATAGGTGCCTGATGTTTTCATCAGTTGTACCCTTTAAAACCCTTCATTTCAAAGGGCCCTTCGAAGTGACCTGTTTTAAGCACTGTGATTTGAAACTTTAATTTGGCACTTTAATGTTAGCCATTTTTGTTTACACTCCAAAATGTCCCTTGGAGCCTTTTAAATTTGCCCTGACAAATTCTACAGCAGCCAACAAAGATAGACACAAAATTCAGGGAACTGTTTAAAACAATATATTTATTTATCTTTAAAACAGTATACACAATATTACATTGTAGATTTCACTTTCAACTCTAAAAGCGCATCACTGGAAGATCTGTAATGCTCTTATTCAAAATAATTTAAGAGTTAATTGATATGATCATCCCAATCCCTCCTCCATCTCTCTCATGCCCCCAGACCAACACACATACATACACATCAAATACGACAAAACAATACAATACTGAGGTGCCTGCTGTAAAAAAACCAATAAAAAGAAGTACAAAAAAGGCATCCATTGCTTACATCAACCCATTCCTGCAAACATAAGTCACATTTTTTTAATGTAAAAATTGGCAATTGTAACGTCCCCACAAAAGTCTCTTTTTACCCATCAAAGCAAGCTTCCTGTCCAATTATATTCAAAACAGATTTCTTCCAGTTGTGTGAAAATGGAAATAAATTAAAACTGATCATTTGCATACAGCGAATCAAAAATGAAATCACCATGTTTTTGCTCATACACTCCCTTGTGTCAATTACTGTCATCTGCAGAATTGCTGTTAACGTTAAAAGTGTATATTTGGCTTTAAGCCAGACAAGCTAGCAATGTCAAACACCAAGAACTTGATAAATAGAAAATAAATATGTATAACTCAAGAGAGGACATCAATACAGTTCACTAAGAACAATAACTCAACTGGTATATTGCTTCACAAAAAAAAAACAAAAAAACGTCCAGTGCTATGACATCTTCACTGCATGTCAGGGTGAGGTATGGACTAAATTGTGCTCTGGCAGCTAACAAAAAAATGACCGGTTAAGAAATAACATGTTAATGACAACAATACCCGATGACCAAGACCAGCACATCAATTCAAAATATCTGTGGGATTACTGAAAGACTGGAATGGAGAAATGTAAGATCCAGCTTCGAAGATTCTTTCATGGACATAGAATATTCTTGAGATATAGCTGAAATTCACTCACTTACACACAGTAAGCCTTTTCATTTCCTTTTATGAATAATAATGCTTACACAGCTATAAATGACACCATTTTTCTACTAGAGGAAACTGGTCTATTTCTCCAGATGCTGTGACTGGTTGATCTCCAAGAATGAATGTCAGCTTGTACCTCATTCTCACCTTCTCCTGTAAAACACACAAAAAAATTTTTTTTTTTTCTTTAATTGTTTTTTTTTTTTTAAAACCCAAACTTATTAAGGCAAAATTAAAGACAATATTTTGATTTTGCGGCTTTTTTAGGCGAGAATGTAGTTGTTTAAATTATAATTATGCAGTTTATTTATAAGGATAGTGCATATTTTAAATATTCATAATTTCGGAGATTAATTGTGTTGGCATTCAACAGCCTGTCATGCTGAGCAGAGCAAAGACAGTTGATGTTCTGCCACAAGATGGCGACAGAGACTGCATAATAAGCCCTTAGTGAAGATGAACTACAGCTGATCAAATCATTATAAAACAGGTAAGTGACTTTCTAAGTCAATCTCTCTATTTTGTATGTTGTAGTGCTGTTTTATTAGGGTTGGGTACCGAAACCCAGAGACATGTAGCCCCGGTACCTTTGTAACCGGTATGTACCGGATCAAATCAGCATATAAATTTTGGTGCCTAGTTTAGGTGCCACTGGTACTGTGACAAGGACGTAAGACGCATCAAGGGGGGCACACATAGGTACACGTTGTCACACCATGTCCAAACATTTAATTCTAAACAACTTTGAGGAATACAGACAGGCGATGTCAGGCGTTTGTTCTTGTTGCTTAGGAATGGACCCACGCAGTACAGCGCATACGGTGAGCGAGAGTGACTCTTTTCAGATCAACACATGATCGCATTCATCAAATTTGCTTAAATTAAGCGTATTTTACAAGCAAGAGTTCTGACACCTGAAGCAGATGCTTTACAAAAGTTAAACATAAATCAGCAGTCTCCATCCGAAGCTCCTTCACGGGACTCCACACTTGTAAACACCCGCTTCATGCTCACGCCGCTCTCACCTACGCCCACATTTGTCAGCGCTACCAAGCCGATCAATCACAGAGCTTGCGCTACATGTACGCGTTATATTTTTTGAGAGGTGCGCGTCAGCAATGTCGACGGCCACGGTGAGGGGCTATGCGTCCACTTGTAGGCTGCGCCGTAGCATACGCGTGTGCTTGACGCAGAAGTATAAATCAGCCTTTAAGGGGGGAAACACGTCAAACTTAATGACACATTTAAGGGCTCAAAGGCATAGGAATGCACTGTCTCTGACATCATATGGCACTTTCAATGAGTACGTTCATGGACACCAATGCTCCGATTTTAATATGATTAAGACAATACTCTGATTTAGAGTCTAGACTACCATGTAAACAGTGATTTTTGATAAACTTAAAAGGACCACAGACACATGCGTCGCGAAATACAGAGTTTTTTCTTTCCATTTTACGTGCAGTATCACATTCTATTAATAGAGCACTCTTCCACCAGTCCCCGTGTCAACAAGCTTGCCCCCCCCTAAATTTTGGACGCGTCGCCACGGCGTTTTGACACAATAATAAATAATCAGTCAAATTATTTTGTAACTGTTTTGTTGTGTATATTGAACATACAGTAAATAATTCTTAAGGAGGCTAATAATACTGACCTTAATTTTTTTTTTATTAAAAACTGCTTTTATTCAAGAAATAAACAATACGAAATACAACTTATTACGACTCCAGAATAATAATTTTTTTAAATAAACACTGTGAAAATTTCAGAAACATTATTTTAAATGAATGGGAGGGCAAAATAAAGCAACTCATGTGAACACCTTAATTATATTATTGTCTTTTTTAGATTAAGGCAAATCGTTAGATTACTGATAACCAAAACATAAACATAGTTAAAAGCCCCAACCCTAGAAAAAAGGAGTTCAGTATTTTGATGACAGCCTTTTCACAGATTAGTAGTAAGCTAATGAAATTTAATAATGCAAATCTTAAATTCATGCTAACCAACAAGTGATCAAAGTAAATATATTAATGTAATTAAAATATATAAAATATATAAATATATTTATATAAAATAAAATAAATAAATGTTAAATTATATTGTTCTATTAAAATAAAATTTTTTTTAAAGATTTTGTCAAATAAAAGATTTTTCTAGAGTCATCCACCATTTTGTGGCCATTTTGTGGCTCAAAAGTATCGGTTCAGGCAATGTTTTGGCACCGGAATCGTTTTAAAAGTATCGATTTAGCATCGGTATCGAAATAATCCCAAACGATACCCAACCGTAGTATTTATACCATAGCAATCTGGTAGTGTTTGCTTTGTCTTTTTTGAAGTTAATTAGGCTATGTTCACACTGCAAGGCTTAGTGTTCAAATCAAGATTTTTTCAGATTAAAAAAAAATAATAATAATTTTACAACATTGTTGTTATAAATGTGGCCAATATTAGATTTGCAGTGTGTACTGATTATGGTCCTAAACTGACCCGCATGCGCAAAAGTAAAGTTAAGGACTGCACAAATTGTCTAACTATGCATACAATGTGTATACTGTACGAAGTAAGCATGTTGTCAGATTATGCTTAATATGATTATTGCCCTTTTAACAGACACCTGTTGTGTATTTCATGCACTGAAGGGTTGTTCTGCTATTACTAAAGTGTATTTCATCATTAGAAACATAAAATAAGTCTCAGGTGTCAAGAATAATACTTGATAAGTGTCAAGAACTCATCAAGGGTTAATGATTAAAGTTACAGATTGAACTGAGAAGGTGGAGTGGGTCTTTCCTTGTTTGTAGAGTTATTTTTTATTTTACTTTGTTATAAACAACAGGCATGTGCAGAAGAGGTGTTTGGGTGCTTGAGCACCTGCTCTTTTTTCTCTCGGAGAGAAAGTTCCCCCTTAAAATTAATGTGCTTGCTCAGTTGTGCACGAGTCTCCTATCCGCAACACTCTTCCGATGCTTTTCAGCTTCCTGATCAACCCGTGCCCCAATCGTTAATCAGATTGGTTATCAAGCACCAGTTTTGCATTCGAATTTTCTTTCAAAATGAACAACCAACTTTCTGTGGTAAAGTAATTGCGCTGTGTACCATTCTACTATGCTGCTGAGGAGTAAGCTAGATAATGTTTGCAGCACAGAATGATTATGCATGTCGCTCAAAGAATATGTAAAAGTCACATGAAATCCTACATAACCGTTCACACTGCGGTAGCATTGTGAAACATCAGATCTGTGTCTGATTTAATACTACATATGAAAGTGGCACAAATCTGAATTAAAAAGATCAGATTCCATGCAGTTTAGGCTGTTCACATTGTCACATGTGAGCGAAAAAATCTGATTCACATTTCCCTGCAGTGTGAACGTAGCCTTATAGTGATATATTGCAGCAGAGAATAAATGGGAAATGCTTCTAAACTTATGGCATTTCATGCTGTTCAGCCTTATAATCTTAAAATGTTAGCAACATTACCTGTTTTGTCATCACTTTAAACAGTACGCTAGAGAATACTAGAATTCAAATACTAGCTCTAAAGTGACGTTGGTGAAGTAGCTCGTTCCCACCAGTGATATTGCCCATTTATATATACACAATAACATGTTTTAATAAGTTTAGTTTTTTTAATGTTTTTTTTTTTTTTTTTTTATGAAATAAAACCTAACGAACCATTTTTTATTTTGGTGACACTTTTTTATGTAGAACTGAACTCAATCTGACAAATAAACAACTTTTATATATGTTCACATTTTAAATGGGCAATCCACTTTGCAACAAATTTAAGGTTCAACACTGATTAAACATACATAAACAAGATCAGTTTTTTGTACCATGTGGAAATCAGCTTAGAAATCATGCAGAATAAAATGTTTATGAAGTTTGTACAGTATAATAATCATAAGAAGTTTCACAAAGAGTGTGTGTGCGTGTTAGAGCTGCACAATAATAAGTTTCAGTATTAATATCACAATGTGCACATCGGCAATTGTCACATTGCAGGATTGCAGTCACAAGAAATTATACGGTTTGTAACTGTAAAGAATAATTTTATTGAATTATTTATACAGTAAAGACTTTTGCATGGTTATTTTATATTTGATTATTCCAATTCTTAACCCAAATACTATTTGACTGCCTCAAAAACAGTTTATTTCACTTTTATCTTTGCTTTTTTGTATTCGCTTGTCAATTGTTTGTTGCATTTGATGCATGATTCACTTCTCTACAGAATTATCTCATTCATTCAATTATTCATTTTCTTGTCAGCTTAGTCGCTTTATTAATCCGGGGTCGCCACAGCGGAATAAACCGCCAACTTATCCAGCAAGTTTTTACGCAGTGGATGGCCTTCCAGCCACAACCCATCTCTGGCAAAAGAATCATCTCAATCATTCGAAATTAATACAATCTTTCAAAAGAGCAGTTTTCAAGTCATCCGGTAAAATTGTAAATATATTGCAATATTTATCACAGAAACACAATGTCAGATTTTTCCTAGCATGTGTGTGTGTAAGTGCCTTTACCTTCAATGGGTTTGCCAGCAGCATGATTTGAGTGATGGAACTGGGGGGCATGAAGGGGTTAAAGGGGGCCATTTCTGTCCCTGAAGGGGGCTGCAGCTTCACTCTCATAGACTGTCAATCATAAATCAGAGCGGTAACTAAAAGTACAAAAGCTCATCTGTCACAAAATAATTATAAAGTACTATTAGCTTGTAAAAAAAAAAAAAAAAAAAAAAGAGCATAGTAAAGTGTTTTGCCCTCACCTTTGGCACAGCCGCCTGTAGCATTACATTCCTGACTAACAGTGGTGCCGTGTTCAGCATGGACACCACAATCACCAGAACATCAGGACGGCCTGTTGGGTGGTCAGTAGCAAAGTGCAACAACACGCGAACACCATCCTTATCATAAGCCGTCACTGGACACTCCTTACCTGTGAAAACATAATCGAAAAACATCACTAGCCCTAACGACAGAGGCGCATCAAGTCATCATTAAAGAGCCTGAGGCTGAAGAAGACCTTGTTGTCTTTTGAGTCGAGTGCCTAAAAAAAAGCTACGTTTGAGAACACCAAGAGAGACTGCCATCTAGCACATGCATTCTGCACCAGCATGTAAAGAATAATCTATCTATAGCAGAAATAATAGCCATCAATACTTAATATTCCTCATTCAGAAAAGTAGGACTGCAGATACACAACGTTTATGTTGGGTGACAATTCATGCAAAACCAATATTTGAATACACAATGTACTCATACTTAAGTTGTTACTAACCCATATGAATTTAGTTTTTCTGTAAGCTTGGAGAGTACTATAGAAAGTTTCTTATCTTAGGGTGTACTCACACTAGGCACGGTTGTCTTGAACTATGCCCAGGCTCGATTGTCCCTCGTCCCCCCTCAGCCCAAACTCACGTTGCATTTTTTGCCTTCCAAACCAGAGCCCGAGCACGCTTATGTCATTTAATGATGCGACTGTTCAGTTTAACAGAAGAACTCTCGCTCTGTCCAATTGTGACTGTTTTAGTTATATTGTTTTGTATTATATTAATTTGCATGATATGCAGTGACACAGTCAAATCTTTTGCTGAACTGAACATCTCAGATTATCAGAACATCTCAGAGAGAGTATTTCAATATTGTAATGCATTACATTCAAAAGTAACTTTCTCCAACACTGCTTATAAGTGTTTTTGTCACTGAGGTTTAACACATCTTCAGGGTCCTCCAAGAGTCTTTCCACTATTAAACTTCTTGCCTCTTCATTGTAAATCAATAAATGTAGTGCTATTGCTGGAGAATGCAATTGTAAGCACCTTTATTTGTTATCTTTCAATTTTTTTAAGTAATGACAGCTATTGGTTTGCCCTAAAGTTAAGACAATTTTTAAGATTTCTTGTCAAGTTGAGATGTTTTTGTAATAGCACCTTCCTATCTGTAGTTAAGATAACACTTTTAGGAAACTATAGCTAAATGTAACAAGGTATATGCAGGAATCCTTCTGCTGGAAAAAAGCAGTAATTTCAATACCTTTTTAAAACTTTTTAAAGACCTCCTCAGAATATTTTAAGACCTCATCGACACTTCAAGTTTAATCAGTATCAAACCATTAACTTAATAAACAGTTGACAATATACAGTTGAAGTTAAATAAACCAACGGTGCACAACCTTGAACAACAGAACTTAGATAAGCTTGGAAGTAACAAAGCATGAAAGAATAAATTATGTGGTTGTTTTTAGCGAAAGGTTTCAGCCACTGCTTAAACTCTTCTTTCTCCAACCAGGAATATGCAAACTTACATTTTCCCATTTTGCTGTCTGTTTTGCTCTAAGGTTTCGCTACATGTGAAGAGCGTCACATTACCTTTCCGTATTTGTCACAAATTACGTGACATCACCCGGATGGAGGAGCTCGGCCGGACACGCCCCGGCCCGAACCAATCGCGTGGATCGAGCACGCTGTTGTTAATATTAGGAGGAAAAGAAAAATATTTATGCTTTTTGGAGTCAAACACTTTGGACAATGCTTGAAAATTTAAGACCTTGTAAAAACACGATTAAGACTTTTTAATAACTTTTAAGGGCCCTAATTTTCTCATAATTGATTTATCAACTTTCAATACTTTAAGACCCCACGGACACCCTGTGTAAAAGCTTTTTTTTTTTTTTTACTAAATTTGTTCATAATTAAAACCAAACAAATAGGATATGATAAAGTTAGGATATTTATATAATACTCCCCATGGTTACCAACATTCTTAAAAAGATCTTTTGTTCTCAGCAGGATAAAAAAAAAAAACTTATATAAGTATGGAAGAAGTGGAGGATGCTTCTACTATCCCTTTAGACCAGGGGTCACCAAACTTGGTCCTAGAGGGCTAAAGTAAGAGCTTGATTAGCTTGTTCAAGTGTGTTTGATCACAGTTGGAGATATCCATTGGCCTCTCCAGGGCCAAACAAAGTGACCCCTGCTTCAGACAAAAAGAGCTTGCATAAAATGTTGAATATTCATTAAACAGCCCATATTATGGGTTTTTGAAAATTCCCCTCTATGTAGTTTGTAACACAGCTCTAAGTGAAGTGAAGTATCCAGATAAGGCTTAAATCTTAAAAAGAGTACAGTGTTTAAAACGGTTGATTCAGCCAAAAAAGAGTCGACTCATAGTGCTTCAAACGAGTCGCCTTGATGCCGAGTCATTAGATGTTTCGCCATGACATACGAACAAAACCACGTGCACGCGCAAACCCGGGAGATTTCAAACCTGCAGCTCCGCCCTCTGACATAGAAACCCCGACACACACACACACCCACAAACACACACACACACAAACATGCCGGTCGATTGAGGTCACACTGCAGATGGATATTATCGAGTCTCTACCCAAAGATGAAACCTCAGCATTATAACCAAGCAGTTGGAAACTACTGGAAACTTCTGCAAACTACATGCTACAAAGAATACTTTATCAGCGTTTGTTAAAGGAAGGATCAGTAAAAAGTAACTTACTGATGGATGTCAGGATGGGTTTCTTCCTCCATTTCTCAAGTGTAAGTACGTGCGATTAAAGTTGTTGCCTCGTTGACTCTAGCTTGCAAATGTATTTAGTTGTGATTTGTTACTTGTAACCGTGTATACTGTATGAGGTTAACTAGCTATATTCTCATATCGCGTGCAAAGTCACGTTAAAAACACGACGCGTGCTGCTTTGTTTACGGAGCTCTGTGGACGAGGGTAGTGTGTGTGTGCGTGTGTGTGTGCGTGCGCTGTCGTCCGGAGGTGTGTGTGTGTGTGTGTGTTTGTGTGTGCGCGCAAGGACGAGGGCAATATGTGTGTTTGTGTGTGTGTGTCTGTGAAAAGAGCAGAGTAAGACAAGCTAGGAGATCTCCTCGTTTTTGGAGTTTTTGCTCAATAAAATAGTTAGTCGTCTGTATTTTCAAGTCCATCCACTGCATTTACATTGACCCACTGGCAGATAAAATCCACGCCTACACTATTGAGCGTGTATGAACTGTGATTACTTTTATATTGCTGATTAGCTGTTGGGGATTTCACTCTCTGACTGAAGGCAGTCGACCAATCGCAACAGGCTGTCATTAGTCCAATCAGCGCAGATTAGCTTCGCGCTAAGGAGGGGTTTGGGAACAAATGAATCACTGGACGATTCATACAGGAGTCGCTGGAATAATTAGGTAAAAATAAATGCAGATTATAAGACCATGAAAGTGTTTTTTGACCTTGCATGCATATTAGACTGTTGTTGGAGACCCTTACAACCAAGATATGACCCTATTACATGTATAATATGGGCTCTTTAATGCTGATTGCATTCCTCATCCCAGGTGGCTAATGTTATAAAAAATACAAAGTATTTTTTTATATTTTCTATATCTATTTTATCTATAGTCTCAGATAAGATAACAAAATGAGAGCATCACACATTCCTTTTAATAACCTTCTTTCTAAACTCAATATCCAATCAGAGAAAGTTTGTTTGCATTTGATGCCACACCAGCTTCTTTAGCCATTTTAATGACAATAAAATTTAAAGTTATTTTATATGATGTCAACTCTTCAATCAATTGATTTTTGCTAAAAACGTAATCATCACCGTTAGACATCTCTTCAAAAAGAGTGTAAGACAGGACTTTGAATCTGTCATTAAAATTAGAAAAATATCTATTCCACAGTCAGTCATGTAATCCAAAGCTACACTGAGATAAAAGCATGTGTTGAAAAATAAATAGCTGTATTCAGGCATTGACATTCCTCTTTATGGTCTGAAATAACTTGAATAGTTTCTAAAAATAGAATACAGCATCCTTTCTACCAACAGCATCCACATTTATTATTGGACTTACTTGGTTTAATGGCCTCCAGCGGGACAAAGACGCTGGTTAGGGAGATGTCCGAGCCTGAGGATGACTGACTGCTGGGTAGGGTAGGAGAAAGGGATCTGAAGACAGGGCTGTCCGGGGCGAAGCTCTGGGGTTTGGCAGAGCTTCCAGCAGAAGGCAATGGAGTAATTCCAGCAGACAGACTCAGTGTGTTTAATGCTGGATGGATGTTCTCTTTCCCAGCTGCAAGTTCTCTGCTGCTCAAGCTTGAATAATTGGACAGGCTGATTTACATAGAAAGAACAGTTATCCGTATTTAAATGTAATGAGAAACACCACTTGCAGCTCATTCATGACTACTGTAAAAGTGCTAATAATAGAGTCTGCGTGTTATGCTTAATTCCTTCCATGCATGAATGCTATTATAAAAGTTCTTTTTCTGTTAAAAATACAACTCCCATGTACATCAATACTCTAAAAAATTTTGTTCCCTGTAAAGTTTCATTTTCAGCAGTTATTTCACAGATGAAATAGTTTATACTGCTTAATAAAGGGGGTAAATCATGGACAGAATGAAATGCCCAGAATGAACTACTACATTTACTTTGAATTCCCTGATTGGTTTTACCTTTTAGTCTTGTCCAGGTCCAGCAGCACAAGATCTTTGAAGCTCTGTTGGAGAGAGTTTTCAAAGTCAGTTATTGAGGTAGTTTTAGATGTAGGTGGTGCTGCTGAGTTAGGAGGATTTAAGGGAGTAGAGCTGCAGAGGAAGTCAGTCACTGGATTTGAAATCTGTTATATAAAAACAAATACACAAACAAACAAACACAAACACAAACACACACACACACACACACACACACACAATTTTAGGAATATAACAAACACCATATTTATTTATTTATTCCTTTGAGTGAGTAATATTTAAGAGGTATATTACATCAAATGTAAATATAAAAATGTATGAGAAAATGTTTTCATCTTTTTTTCTGCGTCCATAGAAGTAAAATTACTTCCTCTTTTCTTTTTAGTGAAACATCATAAACAAAGAATGGTATGAAAAGAAAAGCAAAATAAATCAATAAATCAATAAATAAAAGATTATTATCTATGTGCAGTTTTTATTGGCATTTATGTGCTTTTTTTGCATTTGAGATTTACACTGCTAAAATATCACTGCTATTTTCAAAAATCAAGATTAAATCAAATAACCATAAGAAAACTAATAATCAATAGTTATCTATTTCAATTAACAGAAGCCTGACTTTAAAAAAATAATAAAAAAATAATAAAACAGACAAATAAATGACTACTAATACTCATTTTACGAGAATAGTAAATAAAATGCGGATTTTCTGAACAACATTGTTTTAATTATGTTCACTAGTCTTACTTGTGAAGAAATCCACTGATTGCTTTGAGCTTCCTTTGTAGTCTTTTCTGCAGATGTCCTTGAGTTTGAATCCAGACTACCAAGGCCTGAAAAGTAGTGTTCATTTTAAGCTCTAAGATTCATTTCTGTAAACTTAACTAACCCTAAAGATATATATATATATATATATATATATATATATATATATATATATATATATATATATATATATATATATATATATATATATATATATATATATATATATATACACATATACATTTATAAGATTACACTACTATTCAAAAGTTTGGGGTGCCTACATGTTGGTGGTGCTCAGTGTTGCCAGATTGGGTGGTTTTGAATTTAATTGTGCAGGTAAAAAAATAGCATTGGCGGGTTGATAAAATTTGGGCGGTTTTTAAACTTAACTTTTATATACAACTTTTTAAGCAAAAAATAAGAAAAACTGTTTGCTCCTACTCCATTCAGTTAGTAGTGACCAGTGCATGGCGCAAACCGTGTGGGCCCACCGGCAAAAAGAGATCAAGGAAAGTTGTGTGAAAATCTGACTCCCCTTCGCGTGCACGCACATTACACAGCGCCTGCAGTGAAACCATAGAGTTAAACTAACAGTGCTTGATCATGACATTTTTTCTATCTTTTTTTTTTCACAACTGACAGCAAGAACAATCATAGATGCGTTATTCAATTGACAAGCAGCACCTAATTATGTTCAAAAGAATTTAAAACAGCAAATAGGATGAATTTATACCCCATTTCGAAAGTAAAACACTCCAACATTAAGTGCAGTGTGTGGGTGAGAGGGGTGTTGGTTGCTGTATGGTTAAAATATATGACTTTAGTTAAACTAGGTTAATTCTGATTTAAATAAATTATAATTAAGTAAAATCTTAATCTTAATATTTTGGGTGGTTTTTGTGCGTTTCGTTGAAATGCAAAAGTCTGCTATATCTGGCAACACTGGTGGTGCTTAATGTGGAAATGTCAACCCCAAACTGTCTATGAATTTTATATTAAATACATCCTTAAAAATATACCCATCATCCATGAAAAAACTCCTAATTATTTACCAAAAGAGCCAAGTTCTTCATCTAAAAGAGACAGACTGCTGGGAAGCTGGCTTGATGGAGGACTGGTTTGGAAACTTGAGGATCCTGATGACGTGTTGGAAGAGGAAGGTTGAGCTCCCATTAAAGACGTAAGAGTGAGAAGGTCAGCTGCTGGAGAATCTGAGTGCTGAGGTGGAGTCAAGCCATGGCGGAGGGGTGAAGGAGTTCCTGATCCCAAATCTGCTAAATCAATCAAGATCTCAGAAGAGCTTCTGTCATTGATACCTAAACAAACAAAAAAAAACAATCAATTAAAAACATATCAAACTGCAGTTTCAAAATTTGAGGACTGTTGCACAAAACAAGTTGATCAAAATCTGGGTTGCAGAGTAAGTTTCTGCATTAACAAAACAAACAAATCCAGCATCGCTAACATCAGTTTTAATGAATTCACAACACTTTATATAAACTGTCTCTGTCCAACTTGATGTTTAACGTTGTGTTTGTGAATAACTCTGAATAGCATGCAGCTAAAAGTAAGACAAATGTAGCAAACAGCCAATCACAGTACACATGAGAGGGTCAGTTTTAATGATTTCAGTCAGTGCAATTCACATCTCTTTTGAAGATTGCGAGACACCATTATCAAATATATTATAAATATAATCTCATTGAAAGGGCAGAAAGCAACAGAAGTTTGAAAACGCAACTTCAGGCAAGTATTATTATATCAATGCAAATCAATCCACTGATTTTAATAATGTAGGTTCATGTCATTTTGTTTTATGTAAAGCCATTAATAATGTTAATTGACCATTCACATCTATTTGAATATATAATATTAAATAAAATACAAGTATAAACAATAAATAGCATACTATAAATACATAAAAAATTACTCAAAAATGCTTTTAGTGTAAAAAAAACTTTAATTTGGAGCAAAAAAGATGCTCTGGGACTGGGAATGGCTTTGTTGCAACAGAAATAGGTTACTTTACTCATAGTTGATTGGTCCAGTTTGCATTAGCCCAGAATAAAACCTGCTCTAGAGCATGTTAGTCATGTAGCGCATGTTACTGTGCACAATATAAACAAACTCTCTTAGGTAAAAACCCAAACTGGCTTTGTGCAACAGGCTTCTTTAATTTGATGAACCATGAAAGCACTTTGGATAATTCAAATGCAGTATACTAAAATTGATATTTTTAAAGCGTAAAGTGTAATAGATCTAATATATTATGCAATACATACATCCTGAGGGTGTTGATGCTGGTACGTCAATCACAATGGTCTGTCCTTCAACAATCTTCTTATAGGAGTTGATTACTCGTGAGAGATCATCACTAGCGTGCAAAATATCACCTATAAACAAGACGATGGCAAAGTTAATCACAGTAAAGAGGGGAAGTTCTTTTTGATCTACACTAATATTAGTTTTATTGGCAGATGTGCATTACCTAAGGCACTGTCATCATCCTCTGTCTCGGTGGCGAGTCTGAAGACAGCAGTTCTAAGGTTGTCACAGTCATTATAAAGGTCCTATGAATACAATACAAGTCACACACAGTCAGTTACTGCACATTTAAATGGCAGCTTAAGACCAGAAGTGACTAGATAGAAACTCAAGTGTCTCGCCTTTAAAAGTTCTTTGTCTTCTTGTGTTGACTCATCCGTTTTGAAATGGCTTAGCATCTCATTAAGGAGCTTCACACTGTTGTTCACCTTCTCTAGGGTGCTGACACGATTGGAAACTTTTTGCTGTAAAGCCTCATCCTGAAAGAAAGTCGAGTAAGGAATGATATATTTGATGAATGCAAATGAATTCTGTCAACTGCAGACGAAACAATAAAGATATAATGCATGTTAATTAATTCAAAATTACATGAGATTTGATTCCAGGTTATTGTGTGCCGGTTTGCATAATAATACTAATTAAAAAGGAAAGTCATCAAGTTTAAAAAAAAAAAAAAAATTATGAAACAAGTATATGTTCTGTATGCGCTTTTTCTTTGCATATACTTTAAAAGTACATTGGTTTCATTTCAGTCTGTTATGCTGAAAGATGAAATATCCTTTCCCCCATATTTAAGTTGTTTAAAACATTAAATATGAGATCGGTCACTTGTATTTAATATGCTTTTTATGTTTATATAATCTCTTCTCAATTTATTCTGATGCAGAGATTCAGTTGAAGCACTGAGCTGTATTTTTCAGTTCTGGTTATTCTGGCGATAAAGGCTTTGACAGAGGAGAAAAAATAGATAAATAAACAATTCAATAATTAAATAAATAAATCAAATTAATGAATTCAATGACACGTTTTCTATCATAAGGTTGCATTTAATCGATAAAATTAATTTTATTTCTGATATATTTATAATTAAATTTCATGTAACAGTGTAAAAGTTGCTTAGACTTTTATTGCAGTATGCTGATGTACTTCCAACTAAAGTGCATTACTTAGTAAAGGCGGGGGTTTTTTTTGAGCATCATCCCCTTAAAGTTAACTACTGCTTAGTGGGTGTGGTTAAGAATATTATGGCTTAAGCCATCAAACTTAATTCCTCAAAGAAGGACTCCCAAACCAAACATGAAATCAAATGGTCAGACTTCATTGAAGTAAAAAAAAAACAACAAAAAAAATTCTTCATTTGATTAACTTGGAAGAAATATTTATACAGCTTAACAATATAAACATTTTAAATTTTGATTTCACATGAATTTGAAATGTTTTTAACAAAGTTGCTTCACAGCTTAGAAATATTTTAAAAAACAATTCCACACACAGAGAAAACAACATAAACAACAACACTCATTCAAATAAAAAAAATCATATTACATCACAGCAGATCCCTGTAGATGTGTCAAGGTCACTTCTGTATGTCTCTTAAATTATCAGAAAATGTCATGTGGTGTGACTCCTCAAAAATATGACTACTTTTATTAAAAACTATTTTTAATTTAAACAAAATGGAAATAAAACACAATATTACATTTTACATTACATTCTTTATCTTTATATATTCATTTTTTATACAATTATGGTCTCCTCACCTCTTTGACCATGTTCTTGATGATGCGGTTGGCTTCTTGAAGATCCTCTGGTTTCTTACTCTTAAGAAGTTCTGCAAGACGCTGGAAAGAATTTTTTTCATACAGAACTATTAGATTTACTGTTCACGCTTATGACAATTTAAGCTCAGTCAACATTTTGTCGCTACACTTGTATTATAAAGCTTTCCACTAAAAGAAGTTAAGAAGAAATTTTGACAAATTAAAACAATTTAAACAAGTTATCATGTGTGGTGTTTTGTGATAACATAGCACAAATACTGCCAACCGGACTTAAACTATATTAAACTTTAAATATTGCCTTTTTGGATTCTTCACCTTACTCTTTTCTTCATTGTCAAACACTGGATTTTTGGTCTTTGGCGAAGGAATAAGGGTCCTATCCACATGAACTTCTGGGTCTTTTGTTACAATGCCTAAAATGTTGGAAAGAAGCAGACATAAGACAGAAAATAAGTAGGAGAGATCTTTTACACATCAGTGTTTATGTTTGTCATGAAACAACCTTGCTTCTTTAGCATGTGATAGGCTTCTGCGATTTTTGCCTCATCTGGTAAAGCAACTGAGCAGTTGTAGAGCAGCTCTATTACTTTAGTCTTCACTCTTTCAGATACTCTGTCTCCCAAATACTGCAAGATAAAAACCACAGCAAGATTGTATCATTTGTATTATTATAAAGAAATGAAAACCTCTACATGAGTAGTATTCGCTGCAGTAAATAGACAGCACAACTTTAAATTATGTAATTATCCTTTAACTTACCTTAGGTGAAACTAATTTTATGAGTTCATTTAAAAATCGAAATTTTCCAACTTCATTATGAAACCTTCCCCCACAGTTCTTCATGCAAGCTTCCAAAACCTGAAAAGACAATCTAAAATCAGCCACTGACTATTTTAAAAATACAGGTTTTGCTAAAATTCATTGGTGGCATCAGATGAACTCACCGTTAGTGCTTGTAATGACTCCCATTCTTGTGGTGACTGGATTTTATGTGCTAATAACCGGACAGATATCTGTGGGCTGCAAAAAACAGATACAAATTTCATATTTACATAGTGTCCTAATGCTCAAGACGACCACTTAGGAAAGGTAAGCATACCCCTCAAGTTCCTTATTGATTTGATCACAGAACCCAATGATGTACTCCCACTCCTCTTGTCTGTTGGATGGATTTGTGGCTTTGTCTAACAAGAGAAAAGAAAACAATACACTAATATCACCATTTTCAAATGCCAATTAAACTACATAATTTGCTCTTATGTTCACTCTTTTGACAAACATACAAATGAATATATATTAATCATACAACAACAATTTCCTGTTAAAATATCTAAAAAATAAACAAGACAAACAAGAAATGTATTGTTTTGTCAAATTGTTAAGTGTCTGTTAAAGCAAAGGTCACTGCATGTTACTTAAGAAGTGTTAAAGACTTCTCACTATCCATTTATGTAGTCAACTATTTGTTAATAAAATTTTCTCTCAAAATTTTCTCTCAAACAGGCTAAATCCGCTCCATGCAATAATAATGAAAAAACAACAACCCACAAGTAGAACACTGCATTGTAGTGTGTGTTTATTGTACGGTGCATCTGGAAAGTATTCACTTTTTTCACATTTTTTATTTTACAGCCTTATTCCAAAATGGATTAATTTAATTTATTTCCTCAAAATTCTACACACAATACCCCATAATGACAATGTGAAAAAGATTTTTAGAAATTGTTAGAAATTTATTAAAAATAAAAAACCTGAAAAATCACATGTACATAAGTATTCACAGCCTTTGCCATGAAGCTCTAAATTGAGCTCAGGTATTCTGTTTCCAGTGATCATTCTTGAGATGTTTCAGCAGCTTAATTGGAGTACACCTGTGGTTAATTCAGTTGATTAGACATGATTTGAAAAGGCATACACCTGGTCTAAGGTCCCAGGGTTACCAGTCATGTAAAAGCACAAACCAAGCATGGCAACAAAGGAATTGTCTGTAGACCTCAGAGACAGGATTGTCTCAAGGCACAAGGCTGGGGAAGGTTACAGAAAAATTTCTACTGTTTTGAAAGTTCTAATGAGCACAGTGGCCTCCGTCATACATAAGTGGAAGATGTTTGGAATCACCAGAACTCTTCCTAGAGCTGGTCGGCCATCTAAGCTAAGTGATGAGGGGAGAAGGGCCTTAGTCAGGGAGATGATCAATAACTCTATGGAAACTCGGTATGAGCTCCAGCGCTCTTCTGTAGAGAAAGGAGAACCGTCCAGAAGCACAACCATCTGTGCAGCAATCCACCAATCAGGCCTGTATGGTAGAGTGGCCAGACGGAAACCACTCCCTGCCTGGAATTTGCCAAAAGGCATCTGGAGTCGTCTCAGATCACAAGAAACAAAATTCTCTTGTTCGTTAAAACTAAAATTGAACTTTTTGGAAAGAATGTCAGGCGCTTCGTTAGGAAAAAACTAGGCACTGCTAATCACCAGTCTAATACCATCCCTACAGTGAAGCATGGTAGTGGCAGCATTATGCTGTGGGGATGTTTTTCAGGAGCATGAACTGGAAGACTAGTAAGGATAAAGGGAAAGATGAATGCAGAAATACAGAGACATACTGAATGAAAACTGCTTTAGAGTGCTCATGACCTCTGACTGGGGGAATGGTTCATCTTCCAGCAGGACAATGACTCAAAGCACACTACCAAAATAACAATAGATTGGCGTCACAACAACTCGGTGAATGTTCTTGAGTGGCCCAGCCACAGCCCATACCTAAATCCTATTGAATATCTCTGGAGAGATCTGAAAATGGCTGTACACAGTCACTTCCCAAAGACAGGTGTGACAAGCTTGTAGCATCATATTCAAAAAGACCTGAGGCTGTAATTGCTGCCATGGGTGCATTAACAAAGTATTGAGCAAAGGCTGTGAATACTAGTTTGTACACGTGAAATTTATATTTGGTAAATTTGCAATAGTTTCAAAACGTCTTTTTTTCACATTGTCATTATGGGGTATTGTGTGTAGAATGTTGAGGAAGTAAATTAATTTTATCCATTATGGAATTCAGCAGTAAAATAAAAAATGTGGAAAAAGTGAAGCGCTATGAATACCTACAGAATGCACCGAATTTAGAGATCAATGTCTGAAGAACACATTTTATCCAATAATATTTACAAATAAAAGTGCATAAGAATTTGTCGCTCTTCAGTAAACAATGCCAAGTTTATTAGAATGTGTACGTACACTGTTTACATTAAGAACATTTTACAGTATACCACTTATATTATACAAACCGTGGTGTTTTATTTGAAAAAGAAGCAACCGTTTAAAGGCCAACATTATAGAAGTATGAACTATGCTATACTATAACGTTAACGTCACTGTTTTATGCAAAAGCGACATTATTTTGTGGTTGACAGAGGAGCTTGCTAACCACAACTAAATCTAGTGAGCTGCCTAACCAGATTTTAAGGGGCACAAAAAGATCCAAATATTCTGCGGACTTGTAAGGCACAACATATATAACGTTAAATGCGAAGACTGTCGGAGAAATGTCAGTTAATGGCTTTAATAACGTTACCTCACACGTCAATACAAAAGAAACAACAGCTCACAAATAACATCTGTACTGCACTGCTTATTTTAGAGACGTTAACGTTACAGAGAACGTATAATTTGTATTCTGCTAATGATTTAGCACAACTCACTCAGCCATGACTCCAGTGACTCTCCTTCCGGATCCGCCATGATCATTCAGTTGCACAGCTGACGAGAGCGAGCTACACACAAACACACACACTCCCGTCATGTGACATTCTCGTGAGTGAGTGTGAATTAGCGGCGTAAGGTCTTCCTCATGGTAACTCAAGCACTGGAAAATCCCTCCACATTTTTTTCCACACGACAGCATTTTCTATTATTTTTAATATTAAGTATATTAGATCATTGTATTGTATTATATTGTTTTTTTTCCATATGTGAAATATTCGTATACGATTTATAAATGTTGCCCCAAGAAGATGTTTTTCTATGTAATAACCTGTTATTTTTTAACCATAAAATAAAGGGGAAATGAGAATAACAACGAAACAATCATCACTTTACTCATATAAATGTTTGTTCATTCATTTTAAATTAATGGTTTACTCAAGATCAAAATGTCTTTCAAACCCATTTATTTCTTTCCAATCAATTGAATAATATTATCAAACATATCATTTCTGAAACTGCTATTAGAACAACTTTTGAGAAAGATTAATATATTAAATAAAAAGGCACACACAAGCTTATAAACACAATGAAAATGTTTCATTTTCAATTTTTTTTTTTATTCAAAATAACTTAGCACAACTTACATGAACATGTTTTCAACCATATTGTCTCACACAGCAACTTGAACAATATAAAAATTGTATAAATTAAGAAACAAAGTATTAACCCAGATTAAGACTAGAGAAGCTCCTATTAAGGTTGCAGTAATCCTGTGCTATAAAATGTTGAATGTGTACATACAAAACGTACACGGTGTCAAACCACTAAGAACAATTTGACAATTAAAAATGTAATCCACAAATCAAGAATACTGCTGGTGACAGTTTTACGGCTGGTAGTGATTGCTTTTCTTATTGCATCAAAACTTCATCCAGTGCAGACTCAACACATTGTCCTCAAAAGACCTAAACATTCTGAGCTAAACTGAAACGCTGAACACAACACATGCATATGCATGAACGAGCTCTGCCGTACTGTTACAGTACCCCTACATGGGATCCCATGAAGTACTCTTCAGACATTCTGAGAACACTGAACATTTTAAAACTTTAACAAGAAAGCACATTCTCTCCTCAGTCAGCTACTTCACTGTAGTAATACTTGTGAGCGGTCTCACTGAGAGTCCAGCCACTGGCCCTGAACTCCAGGATCTCTAAGAGCAAGAGTCTTGTCATTGAGCTGAGGTCTTCCTGAAGGAGAAAACCATCTCGCAGCAAGTAAAACAGCTGATTCATGCGCTCGGAATTTGTTTGCTCCAGCTGTTCGCCAACACGATGTAGCTGTACAACCAGGCAGTCCACCTGGTAGAAAATCATTTAATGTCAAAGTATGAAAAATATTTTTAATTATAAACCATATATTATTTTATATTTAAATTATAAAATAGGCCATAACACCACCAGCAACTAAGGAATATCCTGTAAAATGCAAGTACTGTAGTATAAACACAATCCTGATACACTACATTTAAAATAACGACCGAATCTGCTGACTTTGCAGCATGACTTTGAGAACTGAAAATATAACATATAACAAAAAAATAAATAAAAAAACACAAAACATGCAACTAAAATCTAATAAGAACCACTTGTTTTGAAAAAGTTACAATGGGTCTCTCATAAGATACATTGACTAAAAGATGGAAAATATGATTTTACAAATTGCATTTATCTGAAAATCATCTCCACCTTATTGAAAAATATATCACTGAAATTAATAGAAAACTGAATAAATATACAGATTAATACAAGTAAATAAGTAGATTGAATGATGGGCTCAAACATCTGTGGATTTCTGCGTGTGCTGTATGAGCCTAGATGAGTGATGATATGCATGTTTAGGTTAATGCACAGACAAAGACCAACAAGTCTATTTTTCTTAAATGTCAGCTGGAATAGGCACATCAAAATCTGCTTAAGTTTTTCTCAGACTGTTTTATGTGAATTGTGATATAAAAGAATATCAAACACAATTTGTCCTCTTATTTTCTTACAACCTGTAGTCCATAATCTGTCAATCATTTAACAACATCCAAAAATAAAAATTGTTATTAATGCTCAACCTCATCTTGCGCCAAGCCCCAGAGGCATTTGTTCAGAAAACAAATGAAGATACATTTAAGTGCGCTCTCGTTTTACATAAGGTACATTTCCTGCGGCATGATGGGCATCAATTTTAAAAATGTGCATAAAAACATATGCGCATTACTGAGTAACAAACTTTTTATTCGATAAGAAAAAGATGAGCATAAACTACAGTAGAAACACTTTTATCGAACAAATTTCAGTATGCTCATTAAAAAAGTTATTCTTTTATATAAGATCATTTAATGGTAAAAATGTATGTGAATGAACAAACCAGCAGGCTGAGCACACTGTAAAACATCTGAAATGCTGGTCATTCTAAAACATCAGTATTAGTGTTATTATAAGATTACCTCCAAAATTGTAAAGAGCGTCGGCACTCTGCATCTGATGCCACCAAACGCCACCATGCGTTCATTGCCTTCTGAGGCGCAAATCATTAATTAAACAGAAAAAATTCACACAGCTTCTCCTAACGCAGCAAATTCCATTTTTACTTTTGATATTTGGTGCCAAATAATCAGAAAGTGATGATTTTGTTCTGTTTGACTACTTGGATGAAAACTTTATTTGCATGCGATATTCCAGTTATGCACATAAATTTAATTCACATCTTTGGATAGAAACATAGCTATACACAGTAAGGTTCCAGACTCATTTAAAGTACCTCAAAACAGACCATAGGCTTTCAGGGGTCCGTTCTTTGTATGTGGATTACTCAGTTAGCTGGATTTGGATATTGACGATTTGACACGATCCAGGATCGTTTCGTTCTTCAAAGCTGATCCGAGAGTTGTTGTCATAGCAACAGTTATGCTAGCTTAAACCTGATCGGAAGCAGGTTTAATTTATATAAACAGGATTAGATCGGCTCAGTTCAGGCAAAGATAATAAAGAAAGCATGTACCGAATTCTGATATTTTCTTACAGTAGTAGTTATATACACTTGGGAAAATAGTAAACATTTTTAACTATATATATATATATATATATATATATATATATATATATATATATATATATATATATATATATTTATATATATATATATAAAGTTATTAATAAAATGAATAAAGTTATATATTAATGAAACTTATGCAATCTGCACCCCCGTAATGAAAGTACAAAGACTGCCACCTGGTGGTGCAAAGAGAAAACTTATTGGTAAGAACTTTTTAGATCGCTTTAGTACAATTTGTGTATGATAATAATAATAATACAGAATATGTGACTTTAAAAAAAGAAATAATACATAAATGCAGTCATAAACATGTTTTGACAGTTAATATGCCAGTGATTATGCTTTACAAAAGTTGCAGACGCCTTTACCAATATCAAAATGCTTTTGTAAACATCCCGTTATTCTTTATATTGATTAAAAAAATGACTACTATAATAAAGAAAATCTTTTGTAAATGCAGAACTTAATACATTGATATGCATTGAAATACATGATTAATACTGACACATGAAAGTGTAAAGCCTGCCGCTCACAACAAATGTGGAAAGTTATTGCGTGTCATACTTAACAAACGGTTTACTGCTGATTTGATGTAATTTTGCTCACATGGAGAATTGAATATCAATCGGATGATGTCATTACGCTGCTGTGCCGTCAGCCAACCGTTGCATTGCTGATCATGATTTCGAGGATCGATAGATCTGTCCTTCACAAAACACGCAGCGATCTCAGATCAGTTATCCAGACATTCTAATCTGATTCGCGAACTTGTTTGAAGAACCAAATTAGCGAGAGATCAGTAATCGAGATTAAAAGATCCAGGATCTGTCAAATCATCTTAGATCCTTTAAGTGAGGTACGAAGAACAGACCCCAGTGGTTCAATCGGAATATTATCAATCTATAAAAATCCTTTTTCTGTGCATATAAAATAAAAATAATGACTTTATTCAACATTTTCTTCCCCTCAGTGTCGGGCCTCTGACAAATTACCCCGGATGCGTCTGTGCTTTGTTTCAAAGCAGGCATAAGGGGTGTAGATCAGAGCACAATATACTGATACTGAAAAAAAGAAACTCTTGGGTAAAAGCTATTTTTGTTTCATGTGTGCACAAAAGTATTTTTGTAATTTCAAAATATTGCAATATTTAATCACCGAAGTTCTGTTTTGCATATGGTTTGCTTTGAGTATGTTCTCTAGCATTTTTCTGTACTTTAAACAAGTTGGGACCTATGCTGTTTATGAAGAATGAGAGTCAGATTTCAACTAAAATATCAACAACAAAAAAGGTCTCAAAATTTGCAAAGGTCTTAAGGGTTTGTAACAACATAAGGGCAAGTAATCAATAACATAATTTTCATAATTTCTGATTGAGCTCACACTTTAATTTAAATGAAGTTAAGGTTCCAGTTCAACATATTACAACCATATATCCGAAAAAGTTGGGACAGTATGGAAAATGCAAGTAAAAAAGAACTGATTTCTAAATTTACTTTGTCTTGTGTTTCATTGCAGACAATACAGCAGCACATTAGTGTGTTTCTCATGATTTTTTAAATAAACACGTATTCCAATGTTGGTTCTTGCAACACATTTCAAAAAATGTTGGAACAGTAACACATTTACCACTTTGTAATGTTGTCATTCCTTTTCACATTTAACACTTAAAAACATTTAGGGACTGATGACACCAAGTGTTTCAGGTGAAATTCAGATCAGGACTGCAGACAGGCCAGTCAAATACTTGTATCCTTTTCTCCTGCAGCTAAGACTTTGTAATGTGTGAAGAATGTGGCACCCTTGTGCTTTACGCACTAAAATTCCTCCAGATTCCTTGAATCTTTTAATTATGTTATGCACTGTTAAATGTGAAATATTCAAATGTCTTCCTATCATTCTTTAAGGAAAATTAATTTTACACATTTAAATATTTTTTTTCTCACATATTTGTTAGCAAATTGTTTACATGGATGCTGCTTTTGTACCAAACCACAATTACAATCTCCTGTTGACATCACCGGTTTCAAATTACATTATTATTTACCCAATTTACCTGATTACTATATTATTACTTATTTCTTCATTAATAACTGCTCTAGTTCCCATTGTTTGAATGTGTTGTTGGTCTGAATGAAAGGAAAGGATATATATTGACAAATGAAATTAAGTTGACCAGGCAAAACATTAAATATTGTGTGTTGTGTTGTCTGCAATAAAATTCCAAGTAAATTTGGAAATCACTACTTTCTTTTTTATTAGCCATTTCAATCCTGTCCCATTTTTTCTGATTTGGGGTTGTAAAAAAAATTGCTTCATAGGATAATTTCACATTCCTTCCCAAAGTCAAACTTTCAAATGCTTGTCTGAATATACCCTTACCTCTTCCTCATTCATCAAAGAATCAGGCTGAGCCAATCCAAAGAGGCAGTCATACACTGGATCCACAAGGGCTGCAATGGGAGAATTGTTCACCTAAAATTAAATCAACAAACAAGCCAGGTAAATAAAAAAAAAACAACAAGCACCCAATACAATTAAGAAATGGTAAACTAGTAAGATTTTACCTTGATATAATCAAAAATGCTGCAGATAAATGTGACCACACACACCCACTCCTGCATTGAGCGTTTTCTTGTCTCTTCTCTTGCAATGAACTCCTGCTGTAAACGGTTCAACAGATTTCGCCTGAACACACTGGATGCAGTTTTCTGAGCCTCTGCCTATTAAATATAAATACAAGGAAGTTAATGAACACAAGTTTATTTTAATGTGTGTTTTTTTCAGATAACAAGCAAAGTGCTGTGTCATGAAAACAGTTTTTGTTTTGCTTTGACTAGATTAAAGAGCACAAGTTAACAACATCATAAAAATATACCTGAACAACAGCATAACACATGCGGCCAGCATCTTTACAGAATGACAGGTCTTTCAAAGAATGTTCTACGACAGCATTAGACAGCTTCTCCAAATCTACTGTCTTGGGATCTGTGAGGAAGGGGTGTAAAATACAATAATTTATTATTTCTTTGTTATGCATTTCTTAAAAAGACAGGACAGCCAAATGTGTACAAACTTTTGATCACCATAAAATGGCTCCAAACCTTCAAGGATTTCTTTGTTCTAGTCTTGGCTACCATTGTTTTTTCAATCATGCCATTTAATGTTTTTTTGAAGCGCAATAAAATAATAATAATATAAATAATAACAATAATAATATAATATAATAATATAAAATAGTAATAATAATAATAATGTATAGGGGCAGCACGGTGGCGCAGTGGGTAGCATAATCGCCTCTCAGCAAGAAGGTCACTGGTTCAAGCCCTGGCTGGATCAACTGGCATTTATGTGTGGAGTTTGCATATTCTCCCCATGTTCACGTGGGTTTCCACCGGATGCTCTGGTTTCCCCCACAAGTCCAAAGACATGTGGTATATGTAAATTAGGTAAGCTAAAATTGTCCACGGTGTGTGTGAATGAGAGTGTATGGATGTTTCCCAGTGATGGGTTGCAGGGCATATGCTGCATAAAGCATTTGCAGGATAAGTTGGCGGTACATTCCGCTGTGGCGACCTCAATTTAATAAAAGGACAAAGCCGAAAAGAAATTGAACGAATGAATGAATGAATGAATGAATGAATGAATGAATGATTGAATGAAGTACAGCCTAACACAATTTGAAGGAATGGAATTTTCATTTCTGAGTGAATTGCCATTTGAAGATTTAACGTAAAAATTGAGGCATGTTGTTTAAAAATCTTGCAAAAGCTTTTTTTAAAGACCATCAGAGAAAGACACATGATAAAGTTCGCATACCTTTAATCGCTGTTTTAAGCATAGTCTGAGTTTCCATATCAAGAGCAGTCCATGCTGAATCCATGCTGTTCGGAATAAACAATAACGTAGAGACGAAAACAAGGACAAATTAAATTGATAATTTAGATTAAGTAACATGACAATAACACAGAACGCTATCACCTACATCTCCTCTTTGAAATCGCTGTGCTGAAATGTTTGACGGTTTGCAACTTTGCACAAATGATAACTTCACTACGAACTTCTTTTAACGTTAGTTAAAAAAAGATCACGAAATTGCAATTTTGTTTCATCGATCTTACTTAAGAGATCCACGCGGAATCCTGGCGTTTGTTGATTCGTTTCCTGATGCTGTGAGCTGCGCGCATGCGCATGGGAGCATACCTCAGAATTCAAATTTCGACCTGGTTTCAACACTGACATGCAGCAAATATGACAATTAGTGTCTCATCATTATGCTCTTAAAATGAGCGTGCGTGCCCGTTTATTATTATTATGATTTGCAATATCTGCTTGTCTTCTGTGTGCAGTTACAGAAAATAATAATTTACCAACTGGTCACTGGGGGGCGACAAATTACAATGTAAACCGCAAACATGTAGTTTGTTGTTGGCCTGAAAGGTATAGTTCATCCAAAAAAGTAAATAGTCATTATTTTCTTTCCCTCCTCGTGTTCCAAACTTGCTGAGTCTCTCTTTTCTGTTGAACAAAAAAGAAAACATTTTGAAAATGGTATTTGTTTGTCCTGAATGTTAATTGTCACAGGTTTTCAGATTTCTTCAAATATAATCTTTTTTGTTAAACAGTAAAAAGAAACAAAGAAACTCACTATTGTTTATAACCACTTAAAGGAGAGTAAATAACAAGTAGGCTACATTTTTATTTTTGGGTAATTAAAGTATGCATGGAATCAAAACCATGTTGACTTTGTTATAATGTAGCATGTAATGCTACATTATAAACAGATTGCTAGTTTTGTGGTGAACAATTCTTCTGTGCATGCCATTAAAAAAAAAAAAAGTTTGACCTTGTTATCTAAAATTGATATCTGAAAATGCACTGTCCGCATATGCATATGTCTGTCTGATGCATTGGGATTGGTTAACCAAGCCCATAGCCAGCCTGGTTAATGGTGTGATTTATTTTTTTTTCCTCAAAAAGTAAACTTTTTTTTAGTTATTAAACTTATTTTCTATTTAATTATGAGGTTTAAATACTGTTTTTAAGTGAAATTTTAGTTTGACAGATGGTCACACTTTTTGACGTACTAAAAATATTTTCTAAAGATTTAAAATAAAGAAATGTGAAAAATAGACTACTGTTACAATTCACTACATCATATATCACGAGGGGGTAAAAATAGGAATCTGTTAAAGTTTTAAAACAAAAACTGTGGCCTATTGTCATTTATTAGGCAGATTACAAACTGCCCAAAAAACTTTCCCCTGTCAGAATGTGGGCATTTGAATAATAAATAATTAATAATAATGATAATAACATAGAGCATGATTCATGATTTTTGTAGACTGTCTTATAAAAAGTACATTTGATAATTCATAGATAGCAACAATAGCCTAATTTGTATTATAAGTAACTTCAATATGGGCTACACAACATTTTATTGGTCATTTTTTCTTTCAAGAACAAGGTCCAAGATTTGGAATAAAAGTTACTTCTAAAATATTCAACAACAATACAGTGAAAGTTGACTTTACTTGCAGGTCTTACTTTAGGTCTTTATAAAGCCTTTTTCAGTGGGATATTTTGATAATTTATGATGGCATAACAGTCAAAATAGGACAAATGAGCTAATGTATGGGACAAATACTGGACCTTCGACAGTACTGGGATGGGTTCTTAGAACCCCCTCTGTCTACGGGCCTGTTAACTTTCTTAACCACACCCCTCCAACTAACTAACTATGACAACCAACAGAAATGGTGAGGAGGAGGTGTCTGTTGGTTGTAATAACTCTTTTTAAATGAAATCTTTTTGAATGAAATTCCTACTTTGCAACATTCAATCAACAAGATAAGTCACATCCACTTTTAAATTTGATATACCTCTTTTTCTAGGAACTAGAAAAAAAAAACAGTTACAACTTCTGGTTGATGCAGACTTTAACAGAACCCATAGATCAGCCAAACAAAACAGGCTGAAACCATTTTATTTTTTTAAACAAAGTGGACTTCTAATAGTCAAAGACTCCAGAATTCTCCGATTGACATTGTGTACACATCATACATGACAATAACTAAAGACAAATAATAGCGATAATAAAACACACACAGAGAAAGGTAAATGTTATGAAATGCATTCAGTCTACATTGCAGATGTGCTCATAATTATAAACGGCCTTATTCAGTAAACTGATACCTTATGCATTATTTCTATTCTTGAGGTTTACTGCAGCAGATGGAATGGCTCAAAATAAACAAACTATTCTTCCAAAAAGACACACATCTCATTTCTAAGTTAACAATAAAAGAAAAATCTGATTGCACATTGAAAATTACCACACACAAAGTTGCTCCCATGAAAACAAATTACCTTCCTGGGAAGAAAGCAACTAAAGGGCTAAAAGTATCTAAGAAGTTGCACATTACAGCTTTCAACTGAAAATCTGCATTAAAAGTGGAACACAAATTAGAAGATATTTGATTTGTTTTCTTTTAATAACCCAGGACCACATTAGTTCAAAAACAAACTCAAAAATAAAACAAAAATGAAAACAAATCAACTTCAAATGACATCATATGCTGCTTCTAAAGGCCCCCTGTAAATTGTGGCAACAAACTTTATTCACATTCAGACAAAATGCATACTATTGAGTAATCAATCTGTGCAAGTTCAGCCCTTTGTCAACACAGTTATGGCATCATTCTAGATGGCACAAGATCTAGATTTTTTATTCACTACTAAATATATACATCAAACATTTGATGTTTTTTTTTTTTTTTTTTTTTTTAAGAAATCTGTACAAGTGCATTGGAAGGTTTTGCTGGAAATATTTTTATTCCGTGTAATTTACAGAAAAAAAGTATTCATGCTCTAAAGGAATTTGCTTAATAAAGGAAATACATCCAGTGGCATTTTAAAGGTCGTTGTGAAATGATCCAAATTGGTTGCATTTGATCATTGATCTGCTACAGATAATTTGGCACCATTACGCTCAGAAAGGCTTTCCTCTGTGGAACAAAAATTTAAATATTTTCAATGCATTTTTAATTCATTATTATTATTAGTTTAATGAATGAATCAATCAAGTAATTTATTCATTTGTAATAATACACTTTATATAAAAAGGAACAACATGAGTGACAGAATTTTAATTTCTTGGTAAACTGTTGCTTTAAGAGAAAAAGTTGACTTCATATTTGTTTTGCTATCAGCTTTTTAAGTCTGACGTCACAGATTCCAGGTCCAAGTGCTCTATCAGACTATACAGGGAGGCTCAACAAATGCTACTAATAAACATTTACAGAGCACTACTATCAACAATTCTGATAACAATATGCCCAATATCAGATGGACAGAATGTGATTAAATTTGAAAAAATATGTTTATAATATTGGTACTTGTAATGCAGCAAGTCCACAGACTGAAGTGTACACCATGATTTGGTAAGAGATTGACTTGTGTGATAAGACCATAAAGTGGTCATAAACAGCCATTTTCTCAATTCAAATGAGTAGTGTTTTGGACTGGAAACAGTATTCCATACATCACGACTTAACAAAAGGATGGCATGAAATGAGCTTATGTCATCCCACACCAAATACCAGCAACACCACACACATGACTAAAGATGTTACATAGTATGCAGTCTTTTAAAAAAAGAACCCTGGTGCAATTAAAGTTACAGTGGTCTGATGTGTGTTATCAGCCGCTGTGTGGCACAAGACATTCCTTTACATAAAACACTTTTTTTTTTTTAGCACAACTGATGTCATATAAAATAAAGCTCCATCAAAAGCAAAGCTGATGTGATAAACATGAGTAAAATATCAGTCTTGAGCATCTTCTCACACAGCCAGTAGTGCTTCTTTAAATGTCAACCACACCAAACAGCACAGTCTCTCTTTTTCCGGCCAATCGTCATCCGGATCACCAATTGAGCCTTTTCATCCCATCACTCCGACATTTCTGTTTCCGTGGCAACCCAGCTATAAGTCCACAGGTGCTTTATGCAGGCCAACATTTTCTCTGCAAGTTACATGTTTTGATTGACAGGTGTGACATAATTGCGAGGAAACATTCCGGTTTGTCCGTGACAAGCCCCCTTCCACCAATTAGGATCAGAGTTGTCCAGGACCTGGATAAAATCTCCACGCCTGAAACCCAACTCTCCATCCTCTTGAGGGTCGAAGTCAAACAAAGCTTGAACATATGTTGAATTCTGTAAAACAGAGGAGGAAATGTTGAGAATTATAAAAATGATGAAGTTGTCACTTCAAACTGATTTGCATAATATTTGTTTAAGTTGTATTTTGCATTTCTCCCACTCCTTTAATTACTCTCTGAACTGGCTCTGTGCATGTTAGAATGCAAGTCTATGCCCTAAAACAGGTGTTCCCAAACTTTTCAGCCCACGACCCCTAAAATAACAATGCCAGTGACTCACGACCCCCAATATCCTCTGAGGTGGTTATAAATACAGAAACCTTGACCAATAGACTCAAGTTTATTTTTTGTTGAATTTTTTAATTAATTTTTTAATGTATGTCAGTGCTGTAAATGTGTCAGAAAGTTTAACCTGGTATTATAAAAACTATCTGCTGCATCTAACGCTATTGATGTGTCTTTAATATAATGTAATTACCCCAGGGGTTGCAGTTTAATAGAACTAGTAACTATAAGCTACTAGCTACTATAGTAAGAATATAGTATATAGTAACTATAAACGACTATTTTGTCTTTTCAGTAGGTTATGGATAAAATATGGCAATTCTTTATATATATATATATATATATATATATATATATATATATATATATATATATATTTAGCAGAACCAGTCATGGAATGTCAATCAATAGAGATTCAGATCAGATTATGCTGTAACGCAGCTTTAAAATCTAAGTGTCATTATGTAACTCATGTGAGTTACAGTGTAAAGGTATTCCATCACACTAAACTAAATATCAATTCTGTTTTCAGTGTTGATTCATTTTTGTTCAATGCCAGTGTCAATATTTCACAATGTACTGCTTTAAAAAAAAATAATAATAAATAAAAAAGTAGCGCCTTAATTCACCTCATGTATAGTGCAGTTCAGCAATTGGCTATTAATCCACTTAAAGCCTTCATTAGCTGTTAGTACCTTCAATATCCTTTAAACGGCAATGTCACTTATTTTGTAGCAGAAATAAACTGAGACAAAAAACTTCAGTGGAGTAAAGAGTACACAGCATTTGGACTAATAAAAAAACTGTTATTTACTGTAAATATTGCAAATTTAATCAGTAAGCTCAACGTAAGGTTTTATTTTAGAAATACATTCTACCAAGTCTTTCCTTTTTAGCACCTTACAAAATACAAGTTTTAACAAAATTGCCTTCTCCATAAATTGCAAAGTAATCTAAAACTAGAACAATTTGTGTCTATTAATGCGTTTAATGGCATCCTCAAGATAGCGTTAAAGGAGGCTTGTTGAGAGTATATTTCAATCATGTTCTAATATAAAGTAGTGTTTTAAAATGATGTCCTACTGTATGGCTGCTAGTTCTGGGCTCTGTTGTGAATGAGCTTTTAATATTATTAACACTTTCTGGTTTAACAAAGGTTTAAAAATATTAGGACAAGCAGCGAGTAAAATTTGCTAATATTTTTGATAAACAGTCAAAGTATACAGTAGCAGAATATAGATTTTGTACCAAAACTAATAAAATGTATTAAATGCTTTACAATATTATGTATTATATAACATGAACTAAAAGTGACCAATTGCATTTTTGTAATTAATAATGTAGTTATTGAAGTGTTATTGTTAATTAAGTTTACTCAAAAAAATATAATAGTTGTTCATGCTAATTCACATGGTGTAAACTGATATTAACAAATGCACGTTTAAAAAAATCTTAAGAAATGTTGCTACAGTTCAAATGTTAATCCTTAAAACTTTCAGTACAGTTGACTTCAATTCAATAGACATCATAATAAAAAATAAATAAATTAAAAAGTAATTTTTTTTTTTGTCGGCGCAAGTGGTGTAGTGGTTAGGGCAACCTTACGGCAACCCAAGTTTGATTCCGACTTGTGGTCCAATGTCGATCCTTCCCCTCTCTCTGCTCCCCATGCTATCCTGTAAATTATCTCTACTTTTCTATCCAATAAAGTTAAAAACCCCGAAAAAATAATTATAAAAAAAAAAAAAAGTTTTTTTTTTGGTCACAGTTGAGAATGTGGGGAAGAAATACGCATTTTGTGATGTAAAAACTTAGCAATGAAACACTAAAGTATGTGTAATACAGTATTTTTGGATGTTTCCAGGCAGCACTGATTCAGTCCTACCTGTGGTACTTGTTCAATGTCCCTGAGGAAAATAGGCTGATTCCTGGACACAGAAGTGGAGCGATGATAATCCACTAAAGAGTTTAACGAGTTAAATTTGACCACCCACAAGAAATATTTTCCAGCTCCGTCCCGTAAAACTTTGAAGTGCTGGACATCATTTCCAAATCTACAGGAAAGGGAAAACAGTGTTTAGAGAGTTGCATCATAGGCGGATGCATTTATAGCTCTTAGATTTTGCAATTGTAGTGAAACAATCTGAACAGTCTGTCTGAGTGATTCAGACTGTGGTGGCCTAGTTTACAAAGCACACACAAAAAAATTGCAACAACACACAAATAAAATGCTGACAGCGGCCATATTTTTTGCTGCATTACATCAATTATTCATTGGCAAGTCGCTATTTTCAAGAACATTTTCAATTTCTGCATAAACATTACAAAAGTGTTTGCCTTTGTTCTGAAGTCCTAGTAATAATAACTTGGAAACAATCATATATACATGTACACAATGTTATTTAGTACAGAAAAAGGGAATAGCATAGCATAGTAACGAATAGATTACAATGAAAAATACGTACTTAACAGAGAGCGAGAAGTCTCCAGGTGCACTTTCACTCTCCCTTATAAGAAAAGCTCCATCGTGCCTCTGTTTATTCAGCATTTCTTCTGCCTTTGCACGGGGAATCTTCCCATAAAACCAGCTGTGTGTTCAGAACAAATTCAAAAGCAGTGGTTAAAACACTTTAAAGCATACTGGCATCCCATAAAACAACATTTTGAGGCATTCTGCAAAGCAGCTTTGAGACTGAGAAATCTCACCTTTACTAAATGAAAAATATCTGTAGTGAAAGAAAAGAGCTCTAACCTTTAAATTATTCCTTACAGATGCAGTATGTGTGAACAAACTGAACCTACTATATAACATCCAATTTAACACTGATTTAACCTTTTTTCAAATATATTATACAGTTATTATCATTACATACAGCATTACTGACGTAAGGGAAACGACGAGCATCTTTCTTTGTCTAAATAATAAATTGTAGGGATTTGCTCACCATTTGCTCCAAACTCATAAGACTTCCATTAATTGTTAGATTTATTTCTATAACATTTAAACATTTTTACATTTAAAATAAGGCTGAAAAATGTTGATGCTCTTTGGTTGAGGTTGAACAAAGCTCATTGGTTCTTGCAGTAACTCAAACATAAAAAGAACAAACCAATCCTGTCAATCAAGTTTAGCTCTGCTAACAATATTTCCAAAGCTCTACATATAAATGTTGATTAAGTCTCTTTTTTGACTCTCAATTTCTCAAAAACTCAATTTATTTTACATAAAGTCATTTGTTTTTTGAGCTTGACTCTTTTATTTGCATAGTCAAAATAGTTATTATAATATCGTTAAATATTATTTCCTATATAATTAGACCTGGTTTCCTTAATCCAGAAACTGACCTTAGTTACATTAAGGTATTTAAGCAGCCTATAAAATGCCTTAAAAAGCTTTGAAAAATTCCAGTGCCCTGTGAAAATACTGTAGCTGTAGTGTCGTTGTTCTGTCTTAAGATGCTTAACAATAATTTGTGTGTGTGTGTTTGTGTTTAATGTATTTTCAATTAAGACATGTCAAATAACAATTTAGTCTAGGACTACCCTTAAGCCTTGTCTGTAAAACTGAGTGCTAATGTCATGAAGATTATGGGCTCTATTTTAACAATCTAGGCGCAAAGTCTAAAGTGCTTGGCGCTAATAGCATTAAAGGCATGTCAGAATTCACTTTTCCTATTTTAAGGAAGAAAAAATACCATGTTTGTGCCACGACGCCTGATCTAACAGGGTCGGGCTTATTCTCTTAATGAGTTACAGGTTTGTTTTGAGAAGATACAAAATAGTCTTATCTGCCATTCCTTTTAAGGGTCAATTGTGTCACACCCTGGCACTGAACAGACCACTAGCGAGAAAAAAAAGTTTTACAGACCATCTGTGCGAGGAAAAATTTGGCCTCTCTACTTTCTATTTACCTTACTTTTACTGTTTACTTTACTCCTTTACTTTCGTGACGTAGGGAAACGATGTTGTACGCACTCGACTGAAGACATCTATTTGCCTACATATTTAATTTAAATTTTTAAGCACAAAGATTTCTTTCAAAACTATTTCTTGATTAATAATAATAATAATAATAATAACTATGTGTGGTCTAAAAATATTATATCCAAACACAAATTCTGTTCTTATGCCCCATATCGTAATGCATACTGTATGTCTTCAAAACCCGACCGATAGACAAATCTAAACTTGTTTTTATTAAAACAAATATAATTATGCATATGATAAATAATATGCTAATAATAACATTATAACAAAAATGAAAAACTGTAAAAAAACGCATATCACTCTTAACTGGGTGCTCAGCCAAAAAAAACAAAGAAATTATTTATTAATAATTTTAAATAATTTAAATGTATTAAATTAAAAAAGGCTGACACAAAGCATGACAGCCCCCAGACATAAAGAAAGCATGGAGGTAGTGTTTTTTTTAATATATAAATATATCCATGTAGTAAATAATAATTTTTAATCCTTTTTTCATCTAAATATATTTGTGTATTGCTATAAATCATGTCTGTAATCAGCTTTTGAACCTGCATAGGCACATAACTAACCCAACTCTGCGCTGGACTTTAGACCAGCTTTTACTTGGTTAATGGTGTGGTATATTTAAATTTTTTAAAATAGCACTGTGCCAACAATGCGCCTTAACACACCTCCTTTATAGACCAGCACACCCATAAGTCCACAAAGCGGCGGAAATGGATTTGCTATTTAAAGTGAAAATTGCAACAAAACACATCTTGTGCCTTATTGCGTCGGGTGTATAAAAAGGTCCATTACGTCAAAGACATATTATTTTGAAGTAATAAGCAATAACTTTGTCCTGTTGTAATCCCTTTATTTCAACACAAAGTTTAAATGGCAGATTGTAGATTCTCACTAAAGCTGTGACCACACTTAAGTTTGAGCATGCAAAATTCAGTTGTACATTGGCATGAAAAAAATGAGCAATTATACGGAATAACTGTAATAAATTTTGCATCTGTAATTATAAAATCGTAAAGGAAAACGAACATACTCGTAATTTTACGAGGGTACAATTACAAAATCTGTGACTAGAACAGACACAGATACAACATTTTCTTTGTCTGTTTGTATATGACTGATAAATTTATGATGGGTGTACTTTACAAACACAAAATAAAGTTTCACCACAACACAAAAAACCTGATTACGAGTACGAATGAAACAGTGACACTCCACTGTCAAAAGCGAGAGCCATCGATCAAAAGGGAGGGCTTGCTGGGCACTCGAGCTCCCACACACCTACACTGGTAAGATTTTTGTCATTCCCTCTTTAAGAAATGTCAGGTCATGAGCTGTAATAAAGGTTGGGATTTATTGAGGTCCATTTTCGCAGTGTTTTTTGGACATTTTATAAAATCAAAATTAAGAATGGGCCAAGGATAGTGAGCATAATGCAAGTTAACTTTACAGGCAGCGAGCGCAGAATTTCTCAGTGAATCACTTAATGGTGTTTAACTATAACATGACATCTGTTCCATACAATTGCACCATATTTTACATTTATGAACAGAGGTCTAGTTTTGATCTTCTGTTAATCGTACACAATCACGTGATGCGAACTGGCAGAGTTCACCAAGATTGAACTATATACAGCAACATGTAGCACGAGCTTGCCTGTCCAGTCTGGCTCATTCGCATTCACATGAATTTATGTCTATGGGATGAAAAGTGATGTGTTACTACAGCCTAAAACTGACTGGTTTTAAATATTTAAAAATTGTTGCTAGATATGTGCCCACTTATATAAACTGTTAAATTTATGTTTGACAGTCTACATAGACTCTGTTGTTAATTTTTAGAAGTGCTTAAATTCTGGAAATGCAGCACAGAATTATGTTAAGCTTATAAAACAAAACTGTGATAAAATTAAATGATCAATAGACAAAGTTCTGCAATGAATCTTATGGAGTTGAAAGATTGAAAACAGGAGTAACTATGAATGGAAATATCAACTAGTAAACTTCTTTGTATGCCTAAAAGAGCAAATACTTACGGGTGTGGCTTCATTTCTATGTAATTTTTAGGGATGAATCCTTCTTTTCCGTTGAGTTCAGCCTTGTACCAATTCTGGTCACATTCTTCATTTAAAACCTGAAGGCAAAACAATGGACACTTTAACAATTGACCAGCAAGGCGTCATTGCAGTGACCACACAGTAAACCTCCAATCAGCCCACAGAAGACATTTCCCTCAGAACACAGAGTGCCTAAAGAGCCAATTGTATCACTAGCAGTGGTGTTCAAAACCCAATGCTTTGCTCTATAAATAGCATGCAGGAAATATCCTTCATTTCAGCTTTAAGCCTCACATAACATCCTGTATACATAAGACTTATCTGGCACTAATGAGAAATACATTGCATACTCCCTGTTTTGTGCAACTGCAAAACTAAAACCAGATGGATTTCGCAAAAAGATGTGGACCATTAACATCAACCCAATGGCTGAGGTTCCATGTTTCCTTCATAACTGAAGGACAATAAAATACCTACAAGAAGTCCTTGTGTGCATTCGATATTACATGTAAAGAGGAGTCCTTTATTGGCTGGTGTACAATCTGAGGTTGAGTGCTTTCAGAGGAAGAGGATCAGATAAGAAAGAGCATCACTTGATGTGATTACTTTAGGCTCACAGATGCTCTCTCAGTCTTGCATAAGTATCTGTCAAGTATGTTATGACACATCTGTCAAAGACAAATGGGAACCCTGTCCTATAGCATGGAAGGTTCTCGCAACTGTGAAAGATGGTCTCCCATCCCTTCTCTCTCCAAACAACCATTAATCCGCTCTCACTCCCACCGTGCTATGGCGCCTCTTTTCTCAGTCTTTTAACAAAAATAGATCGACATTATAAACAAGCTGAGATGTCAAATTCCCAAAAGAAAGAATGAAAAAAATAGAGCAGTGAGCATATATATATATATATATATATATATATATATATATATATATATATATATTTAATTTCTCTATGTAGTGATGAAAAGGAAATACTTTTTAAAGTTTAGTTTTGCTTGTTTTTTTACTTAAAATCCACTTATTTTTCATAATTTTTGCTGTTAATCTTAAAAAAACAGAGTTTTACAGAAAACTCCTGCTTTGTGGGAGCACTGAAGAATTTGCATATGCAAAATCTGCCCCAATTGTGTATCTTTCCAATAAAACCCTCTCACAGCGTTGGATAAAACTAATATAAGAAAAATAAAAACAAACACATAACTAAAAAGAATCAGAGCAAGCTTTATAAAAGCAAATGAGATGGATAACTGAATGAAATGCCAATAACCCGTCAAAATGTGATCTGTAGATCAAACATGCCATTCAGCCCCAATTCACAACCACTAAATCCCTATTCAGAGGAAAACACACTGCCAGAGCAGCCTGCGTGCCTGCAGCAAGCACTGTTGCTAGGCAGAAAGAGCATAGCAACAGAAAGAACATGGCATGAGGTTCCAAGTATAATAGAATACAGAAACAGTTTAGATATGGATGGTGCATTTGTGCAAAAAATAAGAGTACAGTGAATCTGTGTGTAACACATGACCTAATTAGGCTAGTGAAAAAATATCAATACACTAAAGCATTTCCCCCATTAAAAGATGGGGATATTTCGAATCTAAATTGTTATGTACACAAGACGAGCTCTAAACCAAAAGACACAAAAATGTTTATTTAGAAGGATATTATTAGGAAAATGAATGGACAAATATAAAGTTGAAGTCAGAATTATTATTTTTCCAGACACTTCTATTCAGCTTAAAGTGACATTTAAAGGCTTAACTAGGTTAATGAGGTTAACTAGGCAGCTTAGGGTAATCAGGCAAGTTATTAATGATGGTTTGTTCTGTAGACTATCAAAACAAAATATAGCTTAAAAGGCCTAATAATTTTGACATTAAAATCATTAAAAAAAATTAATATTCCAGCCAAAATAAAACCATTAAGGTAAAAAAATATTATCAGACATACTCTGAAAATTTCCTTGCTCTGTTAAACATCATTAAATATTTAATGAAAATATTTTAAAAAGAGAAAAATTCAAAGGGAGGCTAATAATTCTGACTTCAACTGTATATACACGATATAACATATGAAATAATAGAATTTTAGACTTAAAATAATAGTTTCAAAAAGATAGTGTTTGGTATGTGTTAATGGTACATGTTGTCATACTCTAGGAATTTTTCATATGAGATCAGTATTGTACACTGGGTCTGTTCACATCGCACCTTTCACATACTTAAGTTTTCCATTTTAAATTAAGTGACAAGTCCAACTAAAAGTCAAGTTAATTAAATTTTAATTTAGCTCAATATCACAACAGAAGTCATTTAAGGTTCCTTGAACTGGTCTATAATTAGTTTTTTATAAAGCAAAAAAAAAGGTCTTGTGCCATTTATCTTTTTTACATGATAGCAAGTCATTTCTCTCTCTACATGGTTGCAAATTTACATTTCTCTGCTCCCTGTACTGTATGGTGAAATTCCACTCAGAAGTGTGCTCTCTCATCAGTGGGGAGTAAGTGTCAGAAAATAGAAATAGGAAAAAATGTATCTGAAATATGGCATTAGATAGCATTAAAATAATTATTTTGATAATGAAAGCACTGTCAGTTTATGCTGGGTAGTGTAATGCAGTAAGACTATAAAGCTGATCAAACAAATTATTTACATTTATTTTGATAATATTGAAAAAAGCATAATAAGGAACTTGTTTATTATTACTTTTTTATTATTTTCTTTGTCTACAGTTATTAATCTTTTTTTACTAGATTCTTTCATGAATGGAAAGGTTTAAAAGTAAGCATGATGAAGGCCTCACACTGCACATCACATTATCTGGCTAACATAACCTAATTTGTGTAGTCTACATCACACTTATAAAAAACAAAGAAAGAAAAGCTTCTCATGAGACAAAATTGAAAAATGAATTGCACTGGCAGGGTGATATTTACCAGAACCTTATAATTCACTGATAATTATAGTATTATGTGAACAATACAGGCCAATCATATTAGACTAATAATATCCCCTAAATCCAAAGTTTTCAACTCGTGTCTGGCGTGTATCCTTTCTAGTAGGCTAGCCTACATAAGCTTTATATCTATAATTAACAGATTTGCTGTTTTCAGGGCTAAAGGAGAGCAGCTGGAAAGAGCTTCTAGACTAAAAACTAGACAGCACCAATTTAAGCTCAATTCCTTATTTACATTACATTCCATTTAAATAAAACTAGCAGAGATTTTTATTCAAAGTTATATACGAATTAGAAGAACAATAAAACCAATAAGACCAACAAAAGACAAATAACAAAAGTGCTATGACAAATCCCAGTTAATCATAATAAGTTTAACTTATCTTTTGGAGCTGAGTTTGGTAGGCCATTCCACAGCTGGCAATAGAACAAGGTAAAGGCAACTGAAAAAGATTTTGTGCCTCTTAAAGATTTTGTATAATTGACAACCTTTAAGGCTCGGACACACCAAGTCAATGGCAAACAATTAGTGCCAAAAAAAACCCCAACTGTGTTGTCACCTCCGTTTCTGTCTGAATCTGTCTGGACCAAAATGCTGCCCATGAACACACCAAACAGACAAAACCCAACTGAAACAATAGTGTGCATTCTGTATCCTCATGTGAAGAAGTGTCTTTCCATACCTGTGGGTGGCAGTAGTCTGTTTTCTTGTTCACAATAGGAAACTGGAACTTCTGATGCGGATGTGCGAAGCGCAAGCAAAGTAGTGTTTAGTATATTATCACTAGGGCTGCTAAATTATGGAAAAAAATCTAAATCACGATTATTTTGGTGATAATTGTAATCATGATTAATTAAAACGATTATCAGTTGAAGTCAAAATTATATGCCCTTTTGTGATTATTTTAATATATAAATATTTACTAAATGATGTTTAACAGAAAAATTATTAGCCCCTTTAAGCAATATATATTTGATTGTCTTTAGAAGAAACAACTGTTGTACAATGACTTGCCTAATTACACTAATTAAACCTTTGAATGTCACTTTAAGCTGAATACTAGTATCTTGAAAAATATCTAGTAAAATATAATGTAGTCATCATAGCAAAGATAAAAGAAATCAGTTATTAGAAACGAGTTAGTAAATCTGTTATGTTTTAACTGTTCTTTAAGCATCTTCACTGTAAGAAAAAAAAAAACTAGCTACAAAAGTCCTTCAGTTAAGAGCAGTGAGGGATTTTCTACTTTTGTTGTTTGATTAACAATAATAACAGGCAGCAGCAGGAATATTGCGGGCTGTCACTTTAAGAATAGTGCGGCTCTGATATGGTTTCTCTTTCACATGTCTTTTGATTCTCAACTTGTTTGTTTATTACACAAATGAGGGTTAATATGAATAATCACTAAACACCGCGCTCATACAAAAATGTGCATGTATTTGATCATTAAAGCGCTCAAATTAAGATGGCGCCAGATGTGTGTGACAACAGCATGCGCTCTTTTGCGCTTTTAAAAATATGAATGATTTGGACGTTCATCAGTGAATGATGCGCCTACCGTGCTGCAAAAATTACATTATAGTACATGCTTTTAGTAATTTTCACGTGAAACTGAGCTTTGCAGATCAACAAATTTGTACAACTGTAAAGGGGGCAGTAGCCAATGTGAAGGAATAATCGTTTATCTCGATTAATGGTTTTTCATTATCGTTAGAAGTAAAAATCGATACCGGGTTTTTGATTAATTGCACAGTCCTAATTATCACAGTAATTGTCACTTTTCACAGAGGGATTCATCATTAGCTAATATTTGAGATACGTAATGAAATTACAGCTGCCTCCTTTGTGTATTGTTTGCTTGCCACATCACTTCACTATGTCACACCCCTGCTCTGATTCGTTGCTGAATAACCATCTCAGATTGTTCTCTTCATCTGATGGCCTGGCGGCCGATGGGACTTGTGGAGTTGCGCATCGATGGATTTGCTCTACAGTGTTTGGACTTGCAGCAGTGAAAATTGAAACACACTGAACTGAACTAAACTGAACTTTAACTGTGAAAACTGGACTGGTACAATTTCAATTTACTAGAACTTCTATGTTAAGCTGTAAAAGCGC